CCGTCATTGCTTCTATATTGGTTGAAAAAGATGTAAACAGAATTTTAGTAAATGCAACTCAGATTCTTCCTTTGGTAGTTATTCGAGTTGCTTATCACACTCGTAGCGACTCTATTTTAGAATAATTAGCTTCGTTTATCCGACTTCGTTGGCCTCCTCCCGTGTAACATCCCATGAACTAAAGCAGCATTATCACCAACCATTATTAATGACTGTATTATGTTTGCCGATTATGTGGTAGTTCCAAATAACTTACGCTCAGTCGTCTTATAACAATTATACACAGCTTATAAAGGCATTAGAAGAACGAAGGCTACTGCTTGAAGCTATGTATGTTGGCCTAACATCGACGAACACATCGAAGATTAAGTGCGTACATGCAAAAATTATGTTGCAGTTCCTAAATGCCCATGTAAAAAGAAACTTTATTCTCGGTCATCCCCAAAAGAACCTTGGCAGCGCTTACATATTGATTTTACTGGCCTATTCCAAGGTACCGATTTTCCATTTGCATCGACGCTTATTCAAAATGGCCCAAGATTTTTCTCATGAACCATGTCACTTCTCAGATCGCTATCGTGAATTTATTACAATTGTGTTATATTTCCATGAGAATAATGAATGGTACCTTTTGAGAACTATTTATGGATCAATAGGATAAATATATTTTTACTGTATAATTGTTAAGTAGCTAAGCTACGCATATTCATGTTCCTCTTATTATAAGCTTTATTCTGACCATTCTTGAGTTCTGCCCTGTCTATTAATTACAGTCTCCCACATTCACAGCCACATTTAGCTAAACCTTGTACAAATGTTGTTTCCTATTTTATGGTACGGTGTGGTTTGGTTGGTTGGTATATAAACCCAGTATGTTTGAAATACATGATTCTTATCTCAGAGGCTGAGATTGGTGTTCTGGACTTAACAGGCAGGGATAGACAGGAGGAAGGACCGATAAAGACTCTAAGCTACTCGTACTTGTTTTACGCGTCATTGGCGCGGTCGATAATTCACTGTTTCTAATTGGCGGTACATTAATAAGGCACAACCCCACAAGTTATAACAATTGGCTACGGGGTGAAAAATAAAGAACCAAGGTCAGCCAGTAATTGGACGAAAATCAGTGTAATTTTACTGTTCTGGGGTCTCAGATGTTTTCGTATCGGGAAATGGCACGCAGTTTACTTCCTCAGTTTTCCCACTGTTTTGTAGCAAGTTTGGAGTTAAACATTTCCGTTCAACTCCATACCTTTCACAATTGAATGTTCAGGCCAAAAGGTTTGTGGACCCTTTCAAAAGAGCACTACTGAAGGCGAATGGGGAGGGGAAATATAGAAAATTCTTGGTGGTCTTCTATTGGTCGACAGAAAAACTCTAAATCCATCAACAGCAAATCAAATGTTTCTATCAGAAATCACGTTTTGAAGGAAAATTAAAACTGTTCTCAGTGCTATTAAACCAAGTAACAAGGTGTTGGAAGAAGAAACCAAAACATAGAGACTCAATCCAATTTCCATTATGGACTAAAACGTCGAATATTTCAAAAGAACGGGGAAGTATACGTCCGCGATTTTCGATACTCACCTTCTCAGTGGACCTGTGAACTAATACTTGAGAGACGAGGGAAGGTAATGTATGTGGTAAAAGGTGAAGGTCAGAAATGGACAAGTCATGACGGCTGTATACTGGAATATCCTGGCACTTTACAGGAAATTGAGTAACTGGGCTCGATGTGGAGAGTTTCCTAAGCATTTCCGATATGGGAAGTCCAACGACCCAGAAGCACGAAGAACCAGGACTGAAGCACATGGGAAGATCATTACGGAAACGCAAAAGACCAGACTTTCTCCTGGTTGACCCGAAAAGGAAAACATACAAAGTTTCCTGGGGGAGATATGAAAGATGTTATCGTAAATATTATTTTCAACTAATCGTTCGTTTTGTATTTATTCCAGTCAGCCAGTTTGGACAAGTTTTGTAAGGATCAAAACGCTAGTCACTTTCCCTTACAAATGGCAGTTATAACTTTCTTTCTCAACGAGGAAGATGTGAATAGAGAAATAGAGAGGTCATGACGAACAACAGAAGCTATTTTTGGGGATATTATTTCACTTAATTCAAAGTCTATAAAATAGCAACATTTAGCTTTGTCCCAAGGTTATTTTATAAACCATAAGCTTTCGTTTGATGTATGATTCACGGTCATACCGTTTTCTGATTCAAAGCTATTGTAATTTAAGCGTAACCTTTTGTACTCCATTTTTCTACTTTAACGGTTAGTTTGGACATACTTTATTTTTTAAATGTCTGTGGTCTTGTTAGTCATCCAATTTTTGTGTCATTTTATACTAATCGAAATCAGGGATAAATCGAGTAGTGTTCCAGCTGACTCATTTCCTCTCTCTCTTGCTAGTCAACCAATCAGATGACAGAATAATTTTCGTCTCTGTGCCCAAGGCCGTCAGTCTCAATTCGAACTCGCGCATTTCTAGCCTCAAAGCTGAACCAGTTGGCCTATCGTGTCAAGGCTTTAACGTTGATCGAGACAAGCTCTCTTCTGTATATTGTTGAGTATAAGAGGTTGGACGTGTTATTTTTGCGTTCCGAGTTCGAGCTTGAATTGATCGATCGCCAACAACTCAGAAATTCATCCGTTTTTGACTCGAGTTCCGTGATAAGGAAAAAAATATCATGTAATCTTATCATATTCCAGTTCATTGATGAGTAACAGGACTGTAACGAAGACAATAAAATATATTTCTAAATTATTTAAGTATACAATTATATGGTGCTATTTGTGATCAGCTACTATTTCACCAATATGTAGCTGATTACTGAATAAAAAGACACTTTCGCTTAATCCAATGAACGCTTTCGAATTGGTTGATTGACTCTTACCCTTAGATCAGTAAAGATTTCAAAATGAAGGAGCCACTCGTTAGAAAATAAAAGAAACAATGATTTTCTTGAATATGGAAATCATACATGATAGTAAGTGACAGAGATACGATGAATCTCTCGCTGGCTCTAAGATTTCATCTAGTTTTCAAGTATAAACTGTTGACTTGCTAAAAACAGGAGGCACAACGAAATCTTGTAGGTGATTGCTTAGATTCGTGATCAGGAGAATTTCAGGACTATTAATGAAGTTTATAATGCATAATTATAGTACAACTTACTTAGAATTAAGTAGATTAGTGAGGATAACTTTGTATCTGAATTACATTTTATCATAAAACTGATCCGTTTTAACATGTGATTATGTACTGTGAAATCAATGTAACAGGAATTATTTCATTTACTAAAAAATAAAATGTACTTTTTAATAAATCATATTAATTAAAAAACTTTGTATCTAAAGTGCATTTTATATTTCAATTAACATCACGTTTTTCAAATTAATCTAACTAGAGTTGCCTTGACATAAACTAGTCATATGCTAATTAACATATGAATTACATAATTAATAACGAATAACAATTGTGTTATCTATACCTTTCATAATTGCGTTTCATTAAATAAAACAGATCAACAATCAGTTATAATAGTTCTGTTATGAAATGATTTCTGAGGCGAAATCTTGTAAACTATTTCAAAACATGAGTGATAAATCTTCATTGAACACGTTTTAAAGCATTTGACTGACATCAATAACATTTACATTTCTACTTTATTAAGAGAATAAACGTTTCCGATTCTTAATAATAAGCTTGTAGACGTTTTCTGATAGTTTTAGTATTCATATTCTCATGTCTGGCTACATCACATTAGCAACCGTCCAGCAATTTAAGAGTACTATATTTTATGCTCTGACAAGTGTACATTGCTTAATCAACCTAATTAGATTGAGGAAGACGATAAATCACGAATAAAGCTCCACTATCAAATTTATAGGCTTTTAAAATTATTTTCTTCTTCAGGACAACGTAAATGTCTATTAATATGAAATTCTTACTGGATGTTTAAAAGACTGTAGTTTATAATTACGTCTCTATATACTACTAAATTTGTTCATCATTTACGTTGATCCACTCGAATAATCGTAGAGATAAATGCGGGCATAGCAACTCTGTTATGTTTACCATTCGTTGCTTTAAACAAATAATTATCAAAAACATTAATTGGCTTTTTCTCTAGCAAGAGAATAAGTAAATTGTATAGCCAGGTGTTTTTAAAAGGAATATAATAGAATCAAACAATAATAAATATTTTAACTCGATGAATAACCATGACTGATCAGTATAGAGGGAAAAACGAAAAGAACGTAAGTTGATCCTCAAATTTTATTCAATTAACTATTATATTCTTAAGTCAACTAATGTCTTACTGCAGTTAAAAATCTATTGAATATTTTCTTAAAGATGCATTTAGCTGATTTATCTAATTTATCAACAATGAGTTTTAATTGTACAACCGTCGATAACTGACGTTAAGTTCGAGAGTGTATTAATAGGATTAAAAAAGTAGATATTTCTACTTGGAAAATGTAAAACAATGTGAAATTTCTTTACCATTATGAATCTTTTCAAACTCATTGTAGCATAGTCGTTCTATGATTGATCATACACGAAACCGTCACAGCAGTAGTTTATGAAAGTAATTTTGAAATTTAACTATTTTTGTAATACTCTGGATGTAAAAATAGTGTGATAGGAAGATTCTTTAATAGAAAATTTTTTTCTGAAGGCCAATTAGAATTAAAATTACTTCAGTAACACATCCATGTAAGATTTCTAATTTACACACTGATTTATTTGTGTTATTTATCTGTGGTTAATCTAAGAAATGAAGATGCAAATATCATCCGATTTACAACTCGTCAATCAGATGTAAGTGTATCTCTTTAAGATTAAAAACTAGCAATTAATATCTCAGTCACCACGAAGCTATCCAATGATCTATTGAGTTAAAAATAAAATTATAGGTACTGATTGTTATCAAATATCTTATTTAGCTGTATCAATTCATGCTGAAATTTGATATTTGAATCTTAAAAACATTTTTCTAACCAACATTGTTTTCTCAGAAAGTTAAATTAAATCCTGACCAATAGCATACGCCTGTCAGCTCTCATTTATCATTCGGGGTTTGTCTGATTAGAATAGCATATTATCTTTCCTTCCTGGAAAATATATCCGGCCATTTGGATTCAGCATTAGGGACTGAGTTGAAGGGACATCAATAATGAATAAGTTATTCCTGCTTATCAAATGATCATCATGACTTAGGTAACAAATGAGTGTTACAGTTCTCATGTGTTTTACTTATTTCTTTCTAACGATCACTTTTGCATTATATTCTTAATAGTTCTTTTACAAGTTGATTTGATAATAATATTCAAGGCTATGCGTTCATTTAGATTTTGAAATATATAACAAAGAGTTGAAGCGTTCAAATAGTTGTAAGCAATTCTATCCAATTTTAACGTCCATGCTACAATGTAAAATTTGATGAATTATTTTACTTTACTTTCCAAATTACAGTTTTTCATACATTTTACAATTAACTTCTCTAATTTAAAGTCATTTCATTTATTTTAGTCAGACATCATAGATGAAAGCTATTTTTCACCAGGACAGAGACCTCACTCAGTTGAAATAATGAGGACTTTAGATTTAGATGAATCGTTCATTGATCCTTTTCTGGAGCTAGCTCCGTTTTCTGCACGCTCTGAAAAAACTTATGATGAAGGACGCACAAAAGTAGAACACAGACAGATAATTGGGAAATTACCGATACCAATAGATAATTTAAAAGCTCATCTACCATTTTTAGCCACTCATCTACAAGAAGCTTTAGCTGAATCAGTTTCTACAGGAAATCCGAATCAAGTAAGTCATTAGATTAAAATACAAACAAAGCCCTTGATTAATAAAGTTTTTCTGGAGATTTTGTGCACGTTAGATGTTTCCATCATTAAAACTAATGGTTTGAAAAATATACTTTAACAAACTTTATACACTTAACTGTTAAATCATCGTAAAGTATATATATGATAGTTTACAGTGATAGGGAATAATGTAAGAGACCTGTTTGATAATTACGCTTCACCGGAATAGCCCTCTCCATTGAATTCATTTAGCTGTAAATAAACTTTTGGTCACATATGTCCTAATAACACTGAAATAAAATATTATTCATTATGTATTCGGACAACTAGTATTATTTTGAGTAGAATACTTACTGGACTTCTGTAAAAATTTGGGATGAATACGTTCTATTCAAGTGGCAGGCTTGTAGAATACTTAGTAATTATAAATCTCATAGCTCGGCCCATGGGAACTTAGGTTAGTAAGCGGAAGAGTTTTGTCACAAATTAAATGATAACTTAGAGATTTTCAGCTTATATGATCCACATAAATCCAATATACAGTACAGAACTTTATTAGTTGATATGAATTTGTCAAGCAAATAGAAAAGTGAAAATTCCCATTTTAACATTTGGTAAATAAAGAAGAACGAATCGAACGAAGAAATTTCTTTTCGTTTTCGCTTGACTGAAACTTGCGCTATAAATAAGTTGTGAGCGGAAAATTATTTCATTTTTCTTCAAACATTTAAAATTATATACCTTAGCTTATATAAGTAGAATAGAATAATAATTTTTAATTTGCTTTCCCAATGCAACTCGAAATCAAGTTAGTTATTTTACTCCTTTAACACGTATTGAATTGTAGCTAAATAGCCTAATCTACTTTTCTGTATCTGCAAAAAGAGGAGTCATTGCTATACACGTCTGAAGTAAATGAGACTTCATTCACAGATGTAATGAATAAATAGCTCGATAACAGTCAGAAGTTTATGATACATTTAACGTGAAACATTCAACGATGGATAAATTCTTGAGTGCTTTAGTGACAGAATGAACATAATGTTGTACATCCATACTGTTATGAAGTTTACTGAAAATAAGATTTCCCTGAGAAAATAGTGAAGGAAGTAAACAAAATTTAATTAAAAAGTTATTTGGAGAAAATATCTAATTATAACATTTCATTACTCAATGATCTCAAAGATTAACGACAGTTCTGGTTAATATTAGCTATTGGCTTCCATATGTAAAGTAGAACTGTGTGGTCTGTACTATTTATATGGTTTTCAGAAAAAAATTATCATAGATATCATTCATAATCATGAAAATTTGATCGTCCGAATTAAAGTAATTCTAATGCTTTTTCCGCAATCCTGGTCTGACAGTCTTCAGGGAAATAGTGAGAAGTATCAAAATAGCAAATAAATAAAAAAAACAAACCAATTTAGCAACCCAAAATAATTGTTTCACGTTAAGAATTTCCCTTTAAATATGAGTACAAGTCATTTATTGTGAACTACAATCATGTTCCAAGATATAATCTGATGTGATATGCATGTTACTCGCCAGTGAATATAGAAAGTTGGTATTTGTTCTGGAGCACCAGGTCAAGTTTCATGAGTGCAGATAATTGACACAATGACTGACTTGACCGTGTTAATTTACTTTGGCCTCGTATGTCTAGTGGAGAGAAATGAAAACAGTTCAAATTTACGTCTGGTTATCCTGACCAATCCTTTGAGTAAGGTTGTGTTAGACTAAAGGATGGAATTTCATTCCCATCACTGAGATTTTGATCAATACGATTTAAGTGTACTTACATCTTTATCCTCAGCTCTCTATATTTCCAACATTTTCCAGTCAAATCTGAATGGAATTTTAGTAAACGCTAAGTGATTTTTTAGTAAATTCCTTAGACATGTCTACTTAGGTAGTTCTAAGTTTATTTAGCTATTTTAAATATGTGGAGTCTATAATAATTACATATGCAGTAATTACGAGTCTCATATTAATTTACGTTAGTAATCCAATCATTTTTATGATTATTTAAATTGTTATATAACAAAAAGCAGTGACCAGAATAACACTCTTGACAGGTCACAATACAACTAAACAATTACATAAATACACCGTGATTTCACAAAGGTACTCTGTTGCGTTTATCGGTTCACTATTGTTAATTATTTTTAACAATGCAATTATTAGATAATGTCCGATACTAAATGCATTTTCAAAAACTATGATTAAAACTCCCTTGAACAACAAAATTTACGAAACTAAAGTTATAGGTTTTCTTTTCAAATGCATTAAAACATAATGGAATACATTACATTCATTTTTTAAGAATTCACCTCTGTTGTTGTAAAGATAGATAGAAGTAATCAGTCAATCATTGACAAATCGGCACTTCATTTATCATCTTTATTTCCACATCGTGTGTTCAAAAATCGGGAGAGGAGACCACCTAAACAGAACCAAAGAATATTTAATATTATTTACATCTCCCATTACGACAGTAAGATCATTATAAATGAACTATCATTCAAAAAGTTCGGAACAAGATGGATTTTGTCAGTTTCTTCCCTAAATAATAGCACGTTATCTGTGTACGCTAAATCGAAAATGGGTTTTCAAGTAGAAGATTAATCAGTCAATCAACCACTTTTAACGTAGAACTTGGGATACATGTAATCTGTCTAAGCCACCACACCAATTTAGCACAATATGATGAAATTATCATGTTGAACTACAAAGTAACAGAGGTTGTAGCCGTGTCGGTAATAGTAGAAACGATTAGGTATAAAAAAAGTATAAGAAGGTTTTAGGACAAAGAATCTAACATAAAACATCTTCACAACTATGATCGATTATGAGCCGTATTACTCAATGTCCCAACTATTGATTACGATAACTGCTCGAACTCCGACCTTCAGCCTACTCCTACATCAGACGACATCACCTGTCTAGGTAGCCTGTGGATTAACATACGTACTACGTATCTTGACCATTTCAATCAGCCGAGTCGGTAGGTATGTCTGCGTGGCCAGAACCTGAATAAGGGAGAATATATGGCTCACCAACCCACATCTACGTCCCAAACCAACCTAGTTTTTCCGAATTTACATTGAATGACCCCTAGTTAAATGTTAAACTAATGTTTTTATACATTAAATTAGTCAAACTTATTCTACAATAGTTATCTCTTGCCCTTTCTTATAAACTGAGATGATCAGAGATCGATGTCAGTCAGATGAGTTAACATCCAGTTCACAGACTCTAGATTATAACTCAGTCAATCCAACTGCCAAAACTGGACCACCAATCTTCGGAGTTAATCTATTGGGCCATAAAATCCCATATTTTGAAACATCGATAAACGTATATGAATTACCTTTCGATAATAAAACTATTGACTTCCAAACTTAGGCCAAAAAAATTTTCTACAATAAGGCGTTGATAGTTATGAATATTTTCCAAAGGTTGATCGATACATCCGCCAACCTCCAAATAGGCTAAGTCATGACTATTATGTATCAGTATTTTACACAAATCTAATGAATTACTTGATGGGGATTATAAGCGATCTGAATAAACACAATTTTCTGATTAAGACTTTTAATGTGTTTTATTTACTCTGAAACATAAGTGCGATGAAGGTAAACCAAAACAGTAACTCATATTCACCTGAGATAACAAAATCTCCAAAGTAAGTAGAGAAATTAATCACCTATTATGAAGGTTAATATTGTGTTGTAACATACGCAGACGAAATAAATATACAGAAAACAATATTTGGAATTGTCACCAGTAGATTTCATCAAAGTAAGAATAATTTGGGTCGATTAGCATGTTTGAGATAACTGTTAGCTCTTCATATATAGATGGAATTTGAGCTAAGTAATATGGTGCTGGGGTCGTTAGACACGACAAGTTTGTCGTTAAAGGGAAAGTGTTTGGTTGATTCTGAATGACTGCATTCTTGTCACTACGATTCAGTTTTGATGGTCTTTCTGAGAATTTTGTTCTTCTACAATCCATGTGTCTAGCTCGTTTTTTAATGGCTTTTTCTTCAAAGTATGATAGGGGACAATTATTCAAAAGACGTATTATATACCTTAAACGATGAATGTTCCTACATCTCTCTGATAAATTAGTCGGACTCGACGTCTGTGACTCATAGGTTGATGATGAGTCTATTTGAGAAACTGCAGCATATTTGTTGAACTTTTTCATTTTATCCACAAGTTCATGATATTCAATTTCTTTTACTGGTTCATCAGCCTTACTAAAATCTTCATTACTCAAAACATCTTCATTACGGTCTTTAAGAAATGTAGAAGAACATGAACAGTTACATTTTAAATTATCACCGTATTCTTGCTTTTTCTTTTTTTTCTTCTTATCATTTCTTCTCCTGTTTTTACAAAGCGCATTTGAATCGAGAATGATTTTTAAAGCTTCCAGCCATTCAGAAGTTCCATTTTTCTTTTTACAATCCTTTTTAATATCGTTCGTTTCACCCACATCCATAAGCAAATATTTTGCCAAACGTAGTAGCATTAAATTAAATTCAGTATCTCCTACTTCTTTGAGAGCTTCACTTTTAAGCAATTCATGATGAAGATACTGTTTAAGATTTGTCGATCCAAAGATTTGTTATCTATAACCTTTATAAGCTCTGGTTGTCTTGACGGCAGAATAGGTTGTTCAGTTTCACTATCACAAGAAACTGTTCTGAAATCAAGGGAACTTTTGGTGCCTTTCGAATATGTAATGATGGTGTTTCCAAGTCTAAGTTTGGTTGTAACTGATTTCGTTCTAAAAATCTGTCTGCTGATGTCGTTGAAATATTTTTGAAATGGTTTTCTGGAGAGGCAGAACGTCTTGTAATGGGTTCAGGCGTCCGTGTATTTTCACTTTGTATACCTGGTCTAACGCTTAATACTGAATTAGTGGGAATCTTGAGTTTAGGTTTTGTCGTATTAGACTTTGCAACAGAAGATAATGGGTCCTTACTAGTTGTATTATTTCTTGTAGAATAATGGGATTCAGTATTTTCATCACACTTAAATTGTTTCGGTTTTACTTTAGATAATTTTATTGAAATGTTCTCGCGATTTTCAGTTCTAGGTTGACTGCTTTCAAATTTGTTTTGTCTCTCAGTTATTTTTAGTTTCTTTTGTATCAAATTCTCACCACTACCTTTCGAAGACGATATTGTTTCTTCCTTGTCTGTTTTTTTCAAAGCTCTTCCACTTTGTTTAGAGGCACTCTTCACTGCTTTTTTGGAGACTTGCTTTTTCCCTTTTTAGCAGCTTGTATTGCTGCTTCCTTTGCAACCTCGTTAGCAGCTTTCTTACCCACATGACGAGCAGCTACACGTCCGCCAATTCGAAGACCACTCATACTCATTTTGGTAGCTAAATTGGCCATTGCTCACAACATTCTTGATACGTGTTTAACGTATTTGCAAAGAATGATTTATTTGACATACGACCTTATTAGATTACAAGTAATAAAGCGTTTTAGTAATTATCTAAGCATCATATGATTTATCGATCTGTTTAAATTATTTCAAGTCTATAGTTTTATACAGGATAAACTAAACTTGATTTTCCGACCAAATTTTTAAAACAAATAGTATTTATTTTAAGTGAGCTTGGTGAACTCATATTTCTGAAAAGAATAACATTTAATGAGAACTTATTAATTGCATTTTGATGTTGGATTGACTTCTCCATGTTTTTTCTTAAAAAGCAAATCGCAGCGTCCAATACTCAGTTGTAACGTATGGATGCAAAGTAATGATTGAATAAATGTGGTCGTCACTTTGAGTGAAGTAATGAAATGGTGGAGTGAAATTATTTCTAACAGCTTTTGTATATAAACTGGGGAGTATTTTTGTAATTTTATAATTTTTTCTAATTTCACTTCAGTTGCAAATTAACTGAATTGTTGAGTAAGTGGGTAGTAAAATTTTCATCAATGACTTCAAGTTAATCAAGCTGATATACAAACATTTATCACTGAAACAGTAATTAATGTGATTCTAGAAACTTATTTCTAGGTAGAACATCTAACTAGCAATACGAAATCGTCTAGTAATGAATCAAAGGATATAGGGTAAAGAAGAATAGGTTATGGTGTTTCGGCGAAATTATTCGTAATATGTTTTAGCAGTTAAATCATTCAAGGCGTATGCTATAGTGTCAGATTTCCAAACATTTTGACCCCTTTTAATTCTACTGATTCGACTGTTAACGTGCTAATTTTCTTATGTTAACTATTTAATCAGTGAGGCTACACTTATCGTGGTGACTGAAATCTGAAAAAATTACTGTTTTATGGAAACTTTATGCACAATAGTACAGAACTAAAACTGTAATATTCTTAATAATTAAACAACATGGTTGTGTGATAAGATTTTTGACTGAAAAACGTAGTAATGATAGTTTAAGTACTTGCAAATTCTTCATTTAATGGTGTATAATATTAAAAAAAGAAGTTTATGACGAAAATTCATTCCCCCTAGATTGCGCATCATTCATAAAAGATGATGGATTATATTAGCTCATTTGTCTAAAATTCAGTTTTCTTGTGAATAAATCTGTCGCAAATCAGTAAAGAAAACCCACAAATTTTTTTCGAAAGTAGTTTGATTTTTTTTCTTCGAAGAATCCTATAACGAAAGTAACTAAATATTCACATGACATATGTATGTAAATTGTAACAGTATTCCTTTCTGCTTTACAAATATTAAGTTTGAATTTTCTTTCAAACATTTACTTATTCTGTAGGTTACAAGTGTAGGAAACCATTACTCGTTGCAATTTGTTCAATGGATTCTGTGCTAAAAGTGCATCGTCAAGCTATATAGTCCGTTGACTGATTGGAAAGGATAGACAGTTGAACTGTGAATCAACGGTATAATTGTTTCTTGTTCATGATGAGAATTGGTGGAATCGAGTTCAATACTGTGTAAAATTATAGATGTGCATAACTAAAGCGGCGTACATTGGGAAGAAATAGCTGCTCAATGTATCATAATTTCAATGATTCTCCAGCTGATGTCAGTCTATGACAAAAGAATCTCCCACAATAGGTCCAAATCATATTCTGTAGTCTATTACTTGAGTGTTAGTACCATAGTACTTAAAAAGAAAATGTTATTTACTGATTGTTTGGTAAAAGGAATTTTTGGATGGTTCTAAATAACTCATTTTTGTAAACTGAGTGTTCAAATCAGGTGGTAACTATACAAGAAAATGAGCATTGACGGGAAACAATTCAGACAAGTAATTAATACTTAAAACATCAGGGATTTTAAAGTCCTTCAGAATAAGTAAACATGCAAGTGGTTTTAAACACTTGGGAGAAATTTTGTCCAATGTTCGTTGAAAATACCCTGAATACGTTTGGTAATCAGAGGATATTCCTTTTAGGTTTAACCTCAATATGCTTCTCGTTCACAATTTACCTTAACAAGTAAAAGTGTGAGCTATCAAGAAACACAAACGAATGATTCATATACCAATTATAATAGTCTGTGGAAAGTGATGTGCCAAACATATATATTGCTTAATTATTCAGCTTCATTACCCCACTAAATATGAGTTGGTTTATGAGCATAAAAATGCAATCTTCCTCAAATAAACCACAATAATTTACTAATATCTTTACGTGTAAAAAGTTTTCATTACATTAAAATTCTTAAGCTCCATGCTAACTCACGAAAATCATGAAATAAATTAAATTGTTTGTGCATAAAATTTATCGATACTGTTTATCTCAATTAATTTTACAAGTGTTGTAGTGCTGGACAACGTCCTGGACCAATCAATACAAATCTATCACCAGGATTCCATGAATCTGTTCACTGTGAACATCGCTCACCGCCAACTCCAACACCAAACATTTCCTCAGTAGCAATTCAACATATTCGACAAGAACGACGTCAACAGCAACAACAAAAAACCTGCACAGTAGATGATTCCCCCCCTTCATGTGAAGTAAGTTTGTGGTAATGTAAATGGTTCTCACCTTTTAGTCCTAAATTGGATGATCGTTTATTACATGTTAAAATATTCAACTTTCACTTTTACATCAAAAAGAAACATTTAGAAAAGGGCTGAGTATGAGCAGAACAATGTCAAACCAATCGGTGGTAGTTTGAAGACCGGTTTATAGCACATTAGTTCGAAACCCTGTTAAGCACTCGAAATTGTTTGATTAAGAAATGAGATAATAATTAAACAGGTTTTCAACAAGATAGGAATTTCATTCTGTGACGATTTTGTGTGAAATATGATAATTATCATACTAAGTCTTGTGATTACACAGTGAATTTAATTTACCCTCTAAAAATAAATTGATAAATCATTTCACACCACAGCAATGTGAATCAGTGAATAGTTAAAATCTTTTACCATAAAACACTGAAAATTCTGTTCACTAGTAGATTGCCTTCGTACGTAGAGGTGACTTTGAGCTAATATTAAATGTTTAGAGTAGCTTATAATGAACTAAGATAAAACTACTATTTACTTACTGGTTTTCATCGATTCATGATGATACAGGTAGTCGAAGATAATATATTTGTATTTGATAATCACCCAAAAATATTTTATTTATTCACTCACTTCTAGTTAATACTTGGATTTAGATAGTAAACAAAGCAGTTGAACAAATGATTCGAGTGTGGTTATTGCGTAACACAGAAAGATGTACTTCTGGGGGAGAAACATTAAGTGATAAAATGATTCCTTACAATTAGCTAGTGCTTGTTCATAGTCTTTAATAGATTCTATGCAGTCTTTAATGTTTAGATCATGATCCTCTGCTTTGACAAATCAACCATGTGTAAAGAATATGTTGATTCGTACGATATATGGAGTTTATCGATCGTTTTTATCAGAAACGTTAAGCTGAACGAAACAATCAAAGAAAGTTCTTGCCCAAAATCCTCATAATGAATAAAAATCACATTGAACCATTCTCTTTATTGTAGAAATACTTTATTCTGCATTTGAGAAGATACGTAAATAGCCTTTACTATGTCAGGTTGAAGGCTGTCTAATATTGAAGAAAGTGTATTTACCACCGCATATATTTGCGACGGAAATGTAGCTCCACTTTTCGTTCACCGACACAGTAAGGTTGAGAAAGGGTCAGCGAGTTTCACTAAAGCAAATCCACACACAAGCAGTGGTTTTCCATAAGTGATAAGGGAAAATATATTTGTTAATACGATTACTTAGATAAATAATTAAGACTTATAACTCAATAATAAACTGTATGATGAGTTTATAATTTTCCCAGCCTTGACTAAACAGGACCTGATCACGAAGTTCCACTTCTACCTCTTTGATTAACTAAACTATAGGCTGAAATTTACAATCCTTTTACACGATGCTAATGATAATAATGATTCATGACTCATACAATTATACTAGAGTAAACTAAAGAGATCATAATGCTCAACAAATCTCGACCAATGCACAACCGAAGCATTTATAGAAAAACAATTAACGATGTATTCACTCGTAAAAAAATAAATATCAAGCTCGTATATACATGATGCAATATTAATTCTATAGGGATATAATTTACTTAAAACTTCTTTGAAATACATAGTTTCTTTTGAGCATTACTGTTGATCCTGAGCTTAATTCAATAGTGTTTTCAAACAAATTTTGCTTTTTTAAAATCTTCGTTTATTTTAAGTATCCCTTGGCCTTTTTTTTCTTTTTATCAGTTCAGTTTTAGTTCTCGATTTAACTTTATGTATAATTATGTATATGTAAATTTGTCTAGCTCTGTCATAACACCCATGAATTACAACATCACATTTGTCAAGAGAATATTGAGTATTTACAGAATCAATTGTTAGATATGAAACAGCAACTGCAATACTGTCAAGAGAGAGAGAAAACTAAAGAACAATTATTGGAAGAAAGTTACAATACAACGAGACAATTACAAGAAAGCGTTACAAACTTGTTCCAACAGGTGTGACATCTGCATTTGTTTTATGTTGCTCCATTTAATATTTTCCTACCATGTTAATTTGTTTATGAAGAAACTGATTTATAGAGCTCCGTAGTCGAAGTCTATTTGATGATAATATTTTTTCGTCTTATTTTACCAGTAGATCATCAAACAGATATATTCATCTCGGATTACATCAAATTACTATTAAAATAATAAGTAGCTTAGCAAAAATGTCGATTCAGTTGATGAACCTAATCTTTCGAAATATATAGATGAATAAGATTCCAAATCATCTGTTAAACGAAAGTATGATCTCTAGAGTTCATCTATTTAGAAACTAATGCTCATGATTTTTATTTAAAACAATTTTCCTAAAGGAAATTTAAAACTTTTGACAATGAGTTACTCGAACTACGAAGTAAGCCTGATTATCAGTCAAGTATTTTACCTGAAGTCTTCTTAACTTATGATGTTAATTTTTAGAAAAGTGATTCAAACACAAATATTTTAACCTTGTTAGCAAAATCAGACTGAAATTAGCATCATTACTATGCATTGGTACTTCATTTACTTGAAGAAACTAACCACATAAATAGCACCACGAGCAATGCTGCTTTCCTACAGAGAAAGGAGGGATTAGAAAAGTTCAGCTATAAAAATCTAACACCTTATAATGACCCACTAATTTGCAGTATAGGTGGTTAGGTTTGGTAAGCAAGAAGCCAATACACCCAATATTACTATCAAAAATGCCTTTCATTTATGGCTTCAAGAACCCGTCACTTAGTGTCAGTGGTTACATCCCCATGTTAAAAAATTACTCTTAATCCAGTTTCCTTTTTATACTACTCAAGATGAAAAATGCACAGTGTAGACAATCAACAGATGACTACTACCCATAAATCTCCGATAAAACCTGAGTTCATAATCTTCATAGTTGGATTTATTCTTTACTTCCTAATATATTTCTTACTTAAGATCTCAACATATCTATTCTCGCCCTTTTCTCACTGAGTATACGCAACCAATGTTAGAGATTTATGCCCACGAAATTTTACTTTCTGCCTTCAAACTATAAATTGGGCCTTTCAATATGTGGGACGTACGTCAAATAAGATCACACGCTTCATTATGCAAGATTCTGTGTCTTCGATATCCCCACACAGGATAAATATTTGTTGATTCGCTTGACTACCCAGAGTCCCTTTGGAGAATCGAGGTGACTGAGTTCTTTTGTTTCCGGATACTTAACCACAACTTCTCATGACTTCGCTCGTGTAAACATAATATTGAGTTCAATAGTAGAACAAGGATAAGAATGATCAAGGTCGTGGGTCACACATCAAAACATTCTAAATAATCTCACAGAGGGAAACATCTGAAGTTATTTAAAAAGCGTGGTGTAATCTAAAAGACAATCTCTTTTAATTAAAGTACTTACGTTACTTTGTATGAACGCGATGGAAATCTAGAGGTATTTATATTTAATTGTAGGAAATCTATTAGGTGCGGTACATTTATGTTCATCCTAAGTTAACCCTTAAACAATGTTACTAATGTCTATTAGATAATGGACACTCAAGTCGCAACGGTAGCAGTGTTGACTAATTGAAACGTACGCTATACAGTGGTATGGATATTGTCGAAAGGTTTGCACTGAGAGATTACTACTAGTACTGTTGTTCTTTGGGGATGCTAAAAAGATAGTAGAAATTGATGAGACCGTAGCATGGAAAAGAAAATGCAATAGAGGGGAGAAAGTAAAAAACTGGGTCAGTAGTTACCTTGTCTAACTTCAGGAGATCTTTCGAATATAGGATAGAGATCTGAAGAGCGAGTATTCCGAAAGGGTTTTTTATCACTCGGCTTGAAGTTCTCTGTTAATAACTGAAAAATATATACTACTCTGAATCACAATAAACACTAACAACTGGGTAACATACAAGTACCTTTGCAATTGCAGTTACTACCGTACATTTTTACTGCATAAACGTCATTTTGTTACCACGACTACTGGGGTTCCGCTATAACGGAACAGATATTTTACAAGTTAAAACTCGTTTTTTTCAAATTAGTAACAATCATAATTTTGTCGTATAATTATCAGTTAATAAGATTATTATGAAAATATTTCTTTTACCATAACCTTTCGATTAACTCACTAAATACTGTTGTATTATTTACTATTCCTAATACATTTCCCGTTTATTATTCACGGTTTCCACTACTTACAACTGCTTTTGGGCTTGATCATATATAATTATTACTTTTCATTTGATGGCGCAATGTTGCCTGGCATATCTGTATGTAAACTACGTCTAATTGAAATACAACATAGGGATTACACGAGCAAAATAGAAAGTGGAAAAGGGCGCGGTTAAAATGTCCGACATTAGTAAGGAAGGTGAGAGCTGAAAGGGGAATAAAATTTTTGACTAGGAGAAATATGTTCGGTTCCCCCTCTGTCCCTCTTCCGTATGACCAAGCAAAAAGTAGTTTTCTAAACGTCTAATGACTTGTCTGCTTCCAACAAATACTGTAATTCTTCGAATTCGGTAACAAATTGTTATTCTTATTACCCTAGTCACGTTATCTCGTATGTCTATTTAGAATAGCTTGGGGATAACCTATTTAGAGGGATGTTTCGAAAATCCTTGAAGAATGTTTGTTGAATTTTATTTCAAATGAGTTTTAATTGCTAAGAGCATTCCTTTCTTTTTTAATTAAAAAGTCAAACTCTGCATTTCCCATAACATGTATTCCCGAAAATGCTGTCGTTTGTGATCTCTAGAGAAAATTAGTGAACTTTTATTCTGTCAGTTGTTAACATCCGTGAGAATAAGAGTCAAATGACTAGGTTTTATTTAGTGTTCATTAGATGAACGGGTGGGACACATGCAATTGCCATTAATAATACAGGATTATTAAACATGTATACATTTTAGATTATCCATTATTTCAATTAAAACAATACTCAGATTTACGCTTGACAGGTAAAAACGTTTAAACAGTGTACTTAAGTTACAAATCCAGCTACATCACAACAATATCTTATAGATGATTTCGCTGCAGAGGCGGTAGTAATTCACCATTTAAAACCTAAGCTATATGTGCAAAAGCCTCTAGTCAGTATGTTATTATTTCGTGACTAAAACTTAGTTTTCCACACGGTCAGTCGGTTATTGATACTTTATCTAAATGTTTTTACGCTTTAGTTGTTCGTTATTATCATCTTCATGTTTCTAGTTTATTTTTCATTTTTCTCATACTCCTTAGGCGGATAATTATCTTTCACACATTTGGTTTTGTCTTGTTACTTTCTTTTACTTTTCAGTCGTTACACAATATTATTTTGATCCCTGATGATGTGTACTACTTGATACCTTTTGACAAACTAAGAGGAGTATTAAGCGTAAGCAAGCTACAAAGACATTTAAAATCCAGACCCCGACTCTCTAACACATTGATAACTCCTCAGCTTGAAAGGGCTATTTATTTCCACAATAAAATAATCCCGGTAATTTCAAATGAATTTAGCACTGGGTAGAGTGTTAATAATAAATATATTTTTGTTATATCCCAGTGAGTAGAAAAATTGTATTTCTGACGTTTCGTGACTTAATGTACGCCACTTCATGAAATGTCAGAAATATAATTTTTCTACTTAATGGGATATAACAAAAAATATATTTAGTATTAATCCAGACAATATATTAACTGACCGAATATAATACATCAAAAGAGGGTAACACCAATTTAGTGTAGATGTTAAAGGTACATTATAAGGTTTTCGTAACGTAGTTTGACCTGTTCAAATGTGCACATTCAAATAATATGCTTTTCCCCGTAGACAGTCTAGTGCTGATATGTTTTGGTAATCTTCTACAACCAGTTTGATACACAACGCTACCTCCTCAAACTCTCTTTTTAAGTGCTGTTACTGGATTTTTGCAACAAGCTATTCGATTTTCAAGTCATTTAGACTCTCTTTCTGAGAACACTAATAAATTTCTATGTACTTGGATGAGCGGTAGCAACAAGTTGGCTAAAGATTCTATCCCACCCGTCCAAGAAATTGTTCGTTTTAGGTAGGTCTTTACAACGTAGGGGAAACCGAACATATTTCACATCATTAAAAATTTTATTCCCTTTTCAACGTTCACTTTTATCAATATGCATCTTTTTGATGATCACCCCTAATAATGTACGTCCTTATTAATGTGGACCCTTATTAACCGAGTCCTTTAGAAGGATTATTCAATATAGTGGAGGCTGATTCCCGATTTCTGGAAAAAAGATAGGGTAAAGAGAGAAGAAACAGAGTCTTAGACCAATAAGGACTCAGCAGCTAAACCAAAGTTACTAGTGTTGGTTAGATGTGCAATTGATCGAGCCGGTTATACCAAATTATGTAAATTGGGATTCTATTTGGTAGTTTTATCACGTGAGTTTTAGTCAACAGTCATAGCCATAATAAGTTCATACGAACAACGGAGAGATGTAAAGTTGGTCTAAAAATATTTATGGACACTAAAGAATATCAAGAAAGCCTTGTTTGGAGTCCTATGAGTAAAAACCATTGTCTAATGTCTTTTGAGTTTTAATACCCTACAAGAAACCTAGAAAATTCCATTAGTGATGTAAATTGAAGTATTCTATTTAATTTGTTTGTCTTAGATTTCAATCACTGATCTATACCGAGAAAAGTTTTAAAGGGAAGCTTCTATAGTACTTGAAAATCTTAGGAGATCCGACTCATCAGTCATAGGTGGTTTTGTTTATCAAGTAATTAAGTCAAGTCATTTGTAAGGACACTTGGACGAGTGTTTCCGCTTCCCAGACAGGCGAATAGATAATGGTAACCGTCTACTGAATTTTGCTTCAAAAGTCGTTTATTCCTATTGAGCATCAATCATAAGTATAATGAGATATTGTCTAACCTGGAGAACTCCAATATCCACTCAACACTGTATTCAGCCAAATTTTATCAATATTACCAATCTCTAGGGTAAAATAACAGAAAACTGTTGCTCTCTCTCTCCAGAGCATATCCAGACTCCGATTAAACCATAATCCAACTATTCGCCTTCACTTTTCTGAATACAAATATTACACCAGTAACACCTCCAAGAACTCATTTTGAAAAGGACAATATCAGGCATATATTTGGGGAAGAACTAGCTATGACCTTTGTGATGCTAATTCTGAAGTGACTCATTGGAGTAATATATCAAAAGTTTCTGATTAGGTAATAGTTTTCTGGAAAATAGTCCTTGGTAAATTCAAACATGATAAGAAACAAAGTCAAGGTAACCCTATAGACTGTTAGAAAGGCTACCTAATGTCCGTGAACTATGATGGATAGTGAAAAAGGAAAATTTGGATGATGGATAACACTGGTTTCAACCGATCATTCAGCTACTCACCAATCCCGAAAAAAATGAATGAGAAATCGATCTCTCCCTCTCAATAAAGGGAGTTGACAAGACCAAAGCTAAGTCTAGAAGAAAGAATACAGAAGGACCTGATATATCAACTTCAAATGTTCTGAAGGTAGTAGGCCTACGTTTAGCAATTAGGTTGTCTGGGATATGAGTTATCGTTTAAGGGCTAAAATAATTCTCATCTGACTGATTTCGATTGCTAATCTTCCCACTTTATGAGAAAAAGTAGAAATTCTCTTTTGGAAACCCCATAAAAAAATAGTTTGTGTGATGATTTAACAAATATTTGACCCTTAGATGGAACTCTAGAATAGCAAATTGTGAGGGATTTGGCTCAGTTATCTAAAAGCTTTGTAGCTGTTATTATTAGTAGGAATACGAAAAAAAACATCGATTTCTCAAAGAATCACTTCTTGAGCATAGTTGGTTGAAGCAGAACTTATGAAGAACTGTTATCAGAATTGGAAACCTCAAGAAATGTTTGCAAAGGCTTTATATAATTTCTACATAGATATTCTTCTGGAAATAACATTTTTTTCGTCTAACTTTACCCATTGTAGGCAAACTTCATTAAAAAGATCAAAAACCTTATGAGTTATCTAATTTTTCTGTTGGCTTGATTTTCTTTTCTACACAGGTTGGAGAACGAGAAAATTTGTTGCATAAATTAAGCTTGGAAGTGAATAAATTGAAAAATAAACATGAGGAAGTAATTTCACAGGTGAGCATTTAGGATTCAGTAAATGATTTAAAGTTGATTTTTTTATTTACAGTTAGATCTAATTTACCAACCCAACATTTTGTTTCTATTTTGTGATGAAATGATGATATGTCATGGCAGTAGAGAACCTTGAGGGTGATCATGAAATTGATGTTAATGAGATCTGTATGTTTGGTAATAGATCACTTATAATTAAGCATAACATCCCAGAGAACTGTATATAATTGTCCGACATATGTATTTTGTCTTTGAAATAGAAAATTAAGTGAATGATCATAATTCCTCATCTTAGAGCTGACTTTTATCATCGATGAAAATAGTCGTGAAAAAAATGCTAAGAATGCAAAGAATGCAAAGAATTAATAGATGACCAGTCTTGAAAGTCCGTGCTTCAAGAAGAATTTTGAATTTCATCATAAGAGCAAACAAAGACGATAAATGTCTGCTTTATTTGATTTCTATCTTTTTTCATTGAGTATAATTTTACAACAACAGTATAAGCCTACAAGCAAAGACGGATAGTGGTTAGCAGTGGGATCTAGGGCGCGTATTTCGTCACATTTGGGACTCGTCAGTCGGGTGTGCCTGCACCTTGGAGTTAATTTTCACTCTGGGACTCGAAACCAGTGCTATTCGCTTCAAATGCTATCGCGTTATCCACTTAGCTACCATGTACCATCTTTGTTTCAGACTTAGTTTCAAATACTTTTGATTTAGCCGTTTGAATATTTTGACAGATTTCAAACCTGCTGAATGTCATCATTAAGTGTATTGGCAACCATCAACAGTTTATGCACCCCTGTCAAACATCAAGATAACTTATCGACTTTAATGACAAATAATTCAAAGTAAAATCAATTACTTTACAGTAAGCACTCAGTAATTCGTATAGCACTGGTCATCAAGCAGTGATTGATTTAAGAGCATAAGTCTGTATTTACCTTAGATGATCATTCAACATTGTGACGGAATCGGTAAATTAAGACGACAGAAGAGGATTGTTACTAAATATACATTGAATCTCACGAAAATCAGCAATATATAAACCAACTATAAATGTCAGCAGTTGAAATTTCTATTTTTTCATCTAGCGCGATTCATTTCAAAACCAAACTAAAGAACTAGAAGAACGCTGTCATGATCTACACAAAAAGTATGAGAATAATGCAAATAACTTGACAATGATGGTAAGTTCAACTTTTTAGTTTTCGTATCTCCTCATCTTACAGTTCCTATTCAGACGGTCATCAAACACTTCTGCTGTAGATTAGTTTGTATGGTGTTGCTAAACTAAAATTGATAAAATATATCGTCATCAGAATTAAGGTTTATGAAGATTATTGATATAACGAACTTACCTAAATTAAACATCATTTAAAGTCAAGAAGTAATTGATAGCTACTCGGTACTTGCAGGTCGCGTTTTTTTGGAAATTACTTTATGCGGACGTCACTTATGACTGATATTTTTTCTCTCAGTGAAACATCTTGACCATACATGGAACACAACAGATAAATACATTTTCCCTCTTTAACGTTACCTAATCCGAAAACAGGGTAGCAAATCGTGTAATTTTACACGCCTAAGGGACTTATTCTAACTTTTAATTAGACAGATTATTTTAATTTTTCAATCTGTTCTATCATACACAATATTTGCCTGTGCAAATTGGCTTGCTTTATTAGTGTATTATCGCACTTCAATACTTTATACAATCACTGCATCTTTTAGATGCATGTCTGCTGTTGTAACGGGTTGACTGCAGATTAGAGTGAAGCGTATATTATCGATCGATTACCGTGACACGTAAAACACGTACGAACGACCCAGAGTCCCGACTGGCCCTGCTTCGCTGTCTAGCCCAGCCAGTTGAGTCCAGAACACAAGTCACAGCCTCTGAGATATGAATCATTATATTTCAGACATACTCTGTTTATATACCAACCAAACAAACCACATCGTACCATAAAATAGAAAACAACATTTGTACAATATTTAACAAGTGAAATAATTATCGACCAATAGGGAGTGTACATTTAAAGTCCAAGGCCACCATTAGACTTAACATGATAATTATTGGTATATTTTTCTGCACATCCTAACATCTGCCATCCAATATAAACATATATGATACAATATGTATTCTAATTTTATTATATCTCTGTTTTATAATTGTGGCCATTCGACAGAATGTATACGAAGTAGAAAGGAAATGCATTTCGTTAGCATTCATATCTTTGTATCACCACCGAGCCAACAAAAATGTACTAAAACAGACGTTGCTCAAAGAATGTGTCGCAAAAACCAAAAGAAAACTTGACTAAACAAACAGTTATTACATTTATATATGTTTACAACACCCTTGGATGTAGGTCAAAAATAGCAGTGTAAGTTAATGACCAATCCATAGGAGCATTCCCCACAGATTGACAACGGTTTAAGACCTGTACCTTAGAAAAATTGAACGGAGTAAAATAAAATTTTATATTTACGAGATGTAAAGTTCGATATTAATGTTTTCACGATTTAAGCATTTGCAGCAGCTCTAGCTTTTATTATAACTAATAAAGTACTGCCATGTAATTTATCTAGAAATGTATATAGTGAACGCTAGCTGCTTTCTGCACTTGTATTTGCTTATCAGAACTTCTTATATAACTTTGTTGTGTCCCTTGATCAAAGTGTTTGCTTCTATACTTTCGATCTTTATAATACATTGAGGAACGGACTTTGAGTACTGGTGACCACGTCCGGAGATCGTTAACATTATACGGATTCAAAACGATCCAAAACAGAACCACATTTTAGCTTAATTCCATGGTACACCAATACCGAATGGTTGATCAAGCGGAAAGTGAGGACGACGCGTTGACGAAAAGAAAGATGAGTTACTTCTGATAAGCCTCTAAAATAGTCGAAATGGCTTTATTACTTTAGGTACTGCTATTTATAAGGGAGCATAAATATCTGTTCAGGCTTAGATCGGTTACCACGAATTTCAGAGATAAATTCATCTACATACAGCTAAAGTATTAGTATACAGTAACTCTAACAGATAAATTACATGTAAAAGGATACGTAAATTGTCTTCAGAACAGAAACATAACGGCGTTTAGCGTCCTTTGATTTCTAGGTTGTTATTTAAACACACTACTAAGATTTAATTTTTTGCTTTTCAATTTACTTAATTTCTGTCATTGTTCCTGAAATACTGGGGCAATCGAAAATCAACCGAATGATAAGTGTACATGATTGGCCAGAAAGTTGATTTCGTTCCTAAAGGATAAGATATTGGTGACTAAATTATCGGCTTGGTCAATAAACTTTCCTTTTCACTCTGTCTTTTAACTTGAGTAACCGGTTGGGCTCGTGCATAAGAAGATTGTGTTTCAGTATCGAATCTCGGAAACAGTATGTCACAACAGTTTTCTTTCTTACTTCTGTCTTTATTTCCCTTTTTGTACATCATACTTTTGGTTAGGTAATATTTCGATAAGTCAACACTTTACTACCTAGTGAAACTTCGTTTTTCCACTGTATTTTGTAGATGTCTAAAACGAATAAGATTTGGTCGAAATAGGAATTTGTATTATTCTAACCCCTTCTTGCTTTAACAACTGTGTTCGTTTTTTTTATGTACAGATGTCAAAAGAATAATAACTATGAATTATTATATTCAGTTTGATTCTAAAACAGGCGTTTATCATAAAATTAAGTATTATCCCTGCCTAAGTTGAACAATTTTTGCCAAAAAATAATATAAAGCCATTAACATTTTCGAATTTTCATTTGAAAAAACTTTAGGTGAAGGAACGTGATGAATTATTGGCAAAATTGAAATCAGAACGTGAGAATATCGAAAACATCAGTGAAGAACGGAAAAGACAGGTACTTATTTTTGACATTTAAAAATGATTGTAGTTTGGAATAACTTTAGGTTAAATACGATGTAGCATCTTCCTGGTAAAATTAACAATGTCATTCAATAATATTTAATATGGATAAGTGGGTTTGATGACTTGGAAACCAGTCAGTTTAGAGATTAGTTCAAAATAACGATGATAACTGAAGAAGTACTATGAAATTTGAAACTACTGGAGCGATATTTTTTCTTGACATGGAGTTTTTAGTACCGTGCAGTAAGCTCAAATATGTAACATACCTATTGGAAAGACAAAATATATAGAACCACCACCATATTTGTTGTGTGGATTTGACCAAAAGTATTTGTTGATTGAAATTATTTTAGTCAGACGTTTTCTTTAATAAAGCTTACTTAGACAAGGTAGTATATCAGATTTTGCATATTTGTCCACTACAGTCTAAGTTCCCCTGAGAAATATGTTTGAGATATATAGTCAAGTAAATTAATCGAATCTAAGAATTTAAGACTTGTAAGAAATGATTTAAGTAATCAGTCGAAAAACAAACTCCCACCTCAGCTCTTCTATATTTACTGTTGATCCGAAGCCCGGGTAAATGAGGAGGGTTGGGCATAAAGTAAGCAACCTCATCCCATTAAAAATAACCTTGCTAAGAAACGCTCACCAGAAAAAATCACTTAAACCATTTAAACTCTGCCCTGAGAGTTTAAAGATCTTCAATTAGAAGAGTTATGACGTCTCACGATGAAAACATGGAATATCTGAACAATATGAAAGGTCGGAAAGGTTGTTCGAATAGCGGCGGAAATAGAGAGGTACAACATAGCTCTGTTTGGAATAAGTGGAACCTATTGGACACAAGATGGACCAAAAATGTTAGCTTTGGGAGACGTGCTGTTGTACTCGCGTCATGAAGAAAAAAGTGCTTTTCACAAGCAAGGATGCTGTCCAAAGAAACATGAAGCGCACTTGTGGAATAGGAATCTTATGGATTAGGAATCATCAAAGCAATCTTCGAAACAAAGAAGGAGGGGATTACGATGAATATTATCCAGGGCTCTGTGTCAAACAATGATAGCAATGAAGGCAATAAAGATAAGTTTTATGGGAGGTCGCAGTCAATTGTAGAAAAGAACTCAGCGAAGAACATGACCATCCTGTTGGGACATCTAAAAGCCAAAGTTTTAATAGGCAATACCGGGAATGAAGATATCATAGAGCGGCATGGACTGTGAAAACGGGACGAGAATAGCGAGAGACTTGTAAATCTGTGCGCTTTTAATAAAATGGATATAAAGCGCATCATTTCCCTTACAAATGTATACACAAACCAGAACTATCACCCGACCACAATATAGACAATCAAGTAAATCATCTTTGATTTAATGAAAAATTCAGAGGATCCAGTTTCGAGAACTCTTGAATAGAATAGACTAACTCAATCCTCCACACATCCAAGCAACATACACACTCCTCCACACAGATGTCACCCCACACACAATCGAAGAAATCAAAATGGCCATCAGACAAATCAAGAGTGGGAAGGCATCAAAACCAGATAACATACCAGATGAAGCATTGGAGTCAGACATACAGGTAGCCGTACACGTTCTCCACGTTCTATTCGGAAAGATCAACAGGCCAGATTCCGTAAGGATCGGTCGTGCACAGACCAAATCGCGACACACGGAGCATTGTTAACAATCAATTGGAAGGAAATAGTCACTCACCACACATCAGCTTCCTTGACTATGAGAAGGAGTTTGACAGTGTGGATAGGAGGACCATATGGAACCTTCTTCGAAACCATGGGGTACCTGTGAACATTGCCGACATCGTCCGAAATTCATACGACGGACCACACTGCAAAGTTGCGTGCATGGAGGACGGCCGACAGATGCACTCCCAGTGAAGACCGGTGTCAGACGAGGCTGTTTCCTCCCACCCATTCCCTTTCTTTTGGTGATTGATTGCACTTTGAAGACCTCTACATCTCAGGGGCAACACGGAATACAATGGACAGATTGGATGTAACTAGACGATGTGGACTTTGTAGATGACCTGGCCCTTCTATCACACACACAACAACAAATGCAGGTCAAGACAACCAATGTAGCGGGCACCTTTGTATCAGTAGGCCTCAACACACACACATAAGGGGAAAACCGAGATACTCAAATACAACAGAGGAACACCAACACAATCTCACGTGATGGAGAAACTCTGGAAGAGGTGGAAACCTTCACGTAACTGGATAGCATCATCGATGTACAAGGAGGATCTGATGCAGATGTAAATGCAAGAATTCTCAAAGCGAGGACAGCATTCCTACACTTGAATAACATATGGAACTCGAAACAATTGTCAACCAATATCAAAATCACAATCTTCAATACGAATGTCACCACAGTTATACTATACGGAGCTGAAACTTGGAGAACTAGCACAACTGTCATCGAGAGGTACAAGTATTTTTAAACGATTGTCTGCGCAAGATACTTAATGTTCGTTGACTGGATACCATCAGCAAAATTTACTATGGTGGAGAACGACCTAACTTCCAGGTGAAGAGGTAATTCGGAATGATCGCTGTAGGTAAGAAATGCATTACGGAAGTCACCAGACTGTGTCACAAGGCAAGCCCTAGCTTGAAATCCTGAAGGGAAACAGAAAAGAGGAAGACCGAAGAACACATTGCATTGGGAATCGAGGCAGACATCAAAATAATGGATATTGATTGGAAACACCTGAAAGAGAGATTCCAGGACAGAGTTGGTTGGAGAATCTCGGTCGGCGGCCCATGCTCCTCCACGAGGAGTAACATGCACAATTTATTAACTAAGTTGTAAAACAATACACTACTGCATAATATATGACGATAAGTCACTAGTGAATGGTTGAGTCTGTCAAGGTAAAATGTGATACATGCCACAAGAACAGTAACTCGATAGAGGCGTGATAGAACTGACTGAATGAATGCATATAAATTGGAAGTGAAACTTATCTAATCAGATTCTTGTTGTAGCAACCTGACAGCAATCAGTACCATCTACATAGTGTACAAACCTTCTTAACTAACATTGTTAGTAAAGTATTAGCAGTGTAATTTAAAGAGAAAAGAAAAGGAGACTTAGTGGTAAAAATAGTTGAAAATGTCGCATCATTCCAATTGAACTGAGAAGAGAATAATTTGAAGAAGCTCATCGATGAATAGTGAGGTATAATGTAATTAGGTGGACTGTAAGAAAATGGCTGAAGGAATGGATGTTTTGCAAAACTTTCTGTCGTTGATGTTTTCTCCTGCTTTTCGTGTAGGATATTTTGGTTTAGATGTAGAGTCTAATAACTGCTTCATCGGTTTTATAAACCAGAACGACACTGAGTGTTTATCATAGTTGGGTGATCGGTCCTCAAGAGGGAAAGGATGGTTCACATAAATAAACTCAACAGTGAGATAGATGTGTACGTATTGTCCATCCGTCGCATACGATAATGTTATGAAGTAATGTTCCCTTCAAATTCCATGGTATAAATTTACTTCAGTTAATCTTAGCTTGTGAAAATAGGACAAAGCTTTTTAAAGTGCTCATAAAATTTAGTTTACACTAGTCTTGATGTGAATTGGATTCTTTTTAAAATCATATTTATTCTCCTTTATGTGAAATAGATAATGAAAATGCTCAAAGAAACTTCAAATATACGTGAAAAGCTAGATTTACAAATAGGTCGATCAATGCAACTGGAAGCAGAGTTAGCTCGTCTTAAATCGGTGAATGCACAGTTGGAGTCTGGGATTCAGGAAATGACTAAGCAAAGTCTGTCAAATGCTCAAACAAGTGCAGCTGAAATTCGCTCTTTGCAAGAAGAAAAACAAATAGCATACAATTCACATCAATTAGAAATCAACCAAATAAAAAAAGAATTAAATCAGCTGAATAATGAAAACACTGAGTATAAGAAGGAAATTAGTCGATTACAAACTAAAACTAATGAATTGAAGGTATGTGTTTAGTTATTTTTACCTACGTAAAGTTGATCTTCTGCACTTTGTAAATCACATCTTTTTCAGTAGAATTTAGTTGGTTCCAAGATGTAGACATTTTTAAAAGTTAGGAGAAAAAAGATGTATTTCCAATGAGCTCTTCATGACTGCACATAAATATATGGGTCCTATAACATAGATGGCTGTCCAGAAAATAATTTAAGAAGAGTCATTTTATTTGACAAATAACCAGGAAATTGTTTCCAGACGTAAATTATACTTTGTGAGCTGTATTATTTTTTAAGGTCATCTATGATCGAATTACTGAGTTGGAGACCTGCACAATTATTCCTATTAAATTCATGCAGCCCGTCGACTTCTGTCACTTCAACAATTCTCTGAGGCATATAAACGCAGATGAAAAACGAATTTGATTGGACTAATTTAATTTTTAGGTGGGAAAATCAAACTCTTTAGCCAATAACAAAGAGAAAGAGTGGATGAGTAATCTAATGAGTAAATGGATAAATAACCGAATGAATAAGTTATTAAGTTGATTTTTATATAGTCTATAGCAGTTATTAGATAAGTGAATAAACGAGCACAGATACAATGAAATACACAATGTATGAAAGGCGTACATAGCCCTAAATTAATACCGCCAAGAACAAGTATGAGTGGTTGTGAATTATCATTTGTAATTAATTAATATAAAACTGGTAAAGAAATGGGGTTTGCATGTTTTTGATTTGCCACCTGTTATAGAATTGGTTTCATTACATGACAGATTAATTGGATATACTAGCTTGTTACACCCTATGACGATTATTTGAATTTTATCTAACTTATGATATGAACCAATGCTTAAGCGTCAGTTATACATTGTTTATATTGACGTAATTAGCGATTATTTATAATAACACACGTGGTCATTTTGAAAACGATTTTCTGTTTGAGAAAGAGCGCTTGAAAAATGACTATTTTTATGATAAATCATTATCTGAGATAAAAAATCAACTCATTGTACATTTACATACAATTTAGAACTACCAATAACTAGTGTGATTACCACTGATCACTGTCGATAACTGTCTCACTTACCTCGTCGAATTATTTTACAATCCACTTTCTGAATAATTAAAATAGATTCCTTAATCTATGGATGTTTCTATCAATTGTAAAGTGGTTATTTTAATATTAAATTCATTATATGCCTGAGATGCGTTAAGAAAAATAAGACAATGAATCTAGAAAACCATAATTCTCAATGTACTATTAAATTTGATTAATTAATTTGATCCCCTTTTTTTCGTACATTTATTTTCTGACAAAAAGGACGAGGTTATTCAATGTAGAAATAATTTACAGGTTAAAACAAATATTCTGGAGGAGAAAGAGAGACAAATTCACTCACTTACTCATGAACTTGAATCTTGTCATCGGGTATGTTAATTCGAAGTTTATTTTGATAAGACGTTTTTCTTTTTAGTGGAGTTTTGTTCTCTGAGATGGATGGTTTGGTCGCCAAAAGGCAGTCTTCCACTCGAGAACAACTATATTTTCTCCATGAGTGTCTTCGCCAGCATGTTCTACCAGCAAGTATAAAATATAGACCTCCAACGACCAAACCATCCAGCTCAGAGAACAAAACTCCACCAAAATCATCCACCTGAGCTACAAATCTTCTCCATTATCTCAACGTTTTTCTTTCTTATCTTGTGAATTGGCAAGGTAAACAAATATCCAAAATTAGTAATCACTTTATTACTAAGTATAAGCATTTGTATTAGGGAGTGATTTCGGTTAATTCGTTTATTTAAAATAACCTTTTACTTCGGTCAAATGGGAATAACTATTTTCAACCATTTCTGCTTTTCAAACTTGATCACTATTATTTTACAGGAGTTAGAAACACAAATCAACTCAGTTGGATTATTCAAATCAGAACAGAAAATGATTCAAAATTCATTCGAAGAGAAAATAAAACAATTAGAAATTATTGATAGTCAGAAGCAAAGAGAAGTTGAAAATTTGTCAATGGATTTAAATCAAGCCAAGGTGATTTCTTTAATTAAGTTTTTTATTGATGTTTTGTTAACCCTTTCACGAAATTGAAATCTGTGGTTAGGCGTGATGTCACAGACAGAATTATTATAGTAGCGTATATGTTCGACTTGATAATACCTTTGGGAAATCACACGAGTGAATCACCAACGTCTAACACGAACTTCTTAAATCATTAATTAGAACTGTGGTCTATGAAGGCTATTGAATACACTATGCAGTCTAAAGCTGTCATTTTCAAGTTGATGAAAAAATTCAACTAGGGATCATAGTAAGCTAACCGAACACATTATTTCAATTCGTTCTTTAAACGCTAGGGTATGTGAAAGAGTCTAACAGTATTCTGAAATCTGACCGGAGTTTAAATAAAACTTTTTAGCTTTTATAAGATAGAAATATTTTGCACATTCAAGCAAAAAGCTTTTCTGGCGTTCCACATACACGTGAAAGATGTGTGGAGTTGTATAAAACCACTAATTTACAAAATATGTTCTAGTATTTCATACTACTCAAATAAATGAACTTATGAAGTTCATAAATAGTTAAAGATTTACTATTATTAATAATGGTGATGATGATTACTATTATGTTATTCGTGTAAGTCCTTAGTGTATCTGTCCTCATGTTATTTTGTTCAAAAGTAGGTTACTACTCGAAAAATGATCATTAGTTCTTTCCTACCAAATTAAGTCATTTTCTATTTTCAAGCCTAACTTCTGATACAATCCTTAAGAAACTCATTCAGTTCGCAATAATTTGTGATATATGTAAAAGACTTGTCTGTGGAATTTCATACTTGTTTTATACAAATCCATCTGTATAGTACGATGTTTCGATGACAGATATTCAATCAAACGTCAGCTTTGATTATTTTCACTATCTAAACAAAATCCCAAATTTTACTAAATACCTATCAAGTGCACGTACATAACTTCATACTATTCATCGATGAGATTGTTTCTGTTTACTTGTAAACCAATTCAGTGTTTCCTACCGACAGGAACAAGTAATACACAGTCGTAAATCTCTAGAAATATTACAAAGTGAATTATCATCTAGTCGCACAATGTTGATAAAATCAAGAGAAGAAATTGTTAAACGATCTCACAACGAAGAACAATTGGAGAAATCATTGCAAAAATTAAAGCTCGAACTAGAGCAAACAAATGTACATAAAACTGCAGCAGAAATGGCCAGTAAAACAGCTATCAGTAATGTAAGATAAGTAATTATTTTACTCATATATTTTCGCAGTTAGTTACTTCTAGATATACTTAAAATGTAACCTAAGTAGATCTTGAAATGTAACAAAGTAACTTATTTCTGTTAGAAATTCATTCTCAACTTCCATTTTCAACTAACTGACTTCTTATCAGTGTTTTTATATCACAGGACTAAAATCTCCATATTTCTACTAAAATCAAACCTCATTGCTATCCGCTGTTCACAACTAAGTTTTGCTTCTAATCTATGACAAGTAATATTCATGATATGTACTTTATTTTTATTTCAACGTCAGTTTCTGGGAGTGGAAATTCTTAAGAATTAGAAGTTCCATATAATGGATAGTAAACTTATTTACGAAGTGTATATATTTAATAAAATATCCCCTAGGTTCCTTCTGTATAAAGTCTATCATCGACTAATATTAAGACTAATCTATATCTGGAGTGTAACTAACGTCATTCACAGCCGGTACCAAGTGCTGACTAAATCATGTGGATCATGTGTAGGGATGTGAAATTGAACTAAACGACATCATACAGTATTGGAATACATTTGGGGTTTTAATTCAAGGACAAAGCCACAGAAAATTCTACAATCTGCCCATTATTTTTTCCAATTTATCAGAATGGCCTACTAACCATGTCGAGCAAACTCAGTGTTCACTACTGCCCCAACTTTATATTATTGATCACTAAATTTAGGGGGGTTACTGATGAATTATTTATAATCTGAATAGTCTACGGTAGAAATACACTTGGGTGATGGATACGATGTATAATAATAGATTCATACGTAATCCCTTAAATCAACATATCTCCATTGTCTAAAACAAACAAGTAAAATGATATCCCAGTTATTCTTGTTCTCTGGATGTGAGATAAAAATAATGACCATCACTCAATTACACTACATTATTTATTTAATCCAGCTATTCATATAGCTTTTTTCACTTACAGTATCAAGAATTGGAAGCACAGATGGAATCCTACAAAACATCAAATATAACTATACAAACCCGTCTACATGAAGTAGGCAAGGAATTGGACGAAACAAAATTGATTAAATCGCAGTTAGAAGAAAGATTAAGCATTCTGACAGAACAATTACAGTTAGCGCAAAAACAACTAGAGGAAAAACAAGCACAAGTTAGTCCTTTTGTTCACGTGAAATAATTTAATTGAACGTTGTCAATCATTTTTATCGATTTCATCATCCGAATTCCTTACTGTTCATATCATCAATGGGTAGCGTATTTTAAGACACTGGATAGGGAAGAACATTTGACCAGATATTATCTTCCTTTGTTCCATTTTTGTTATCACATTACAAGGTGAATCTGAAACGTCAGTGGAACTAACTTTGCCTTAAAGATTCTATTTTTTATCACTTAATAGTGTTTTCCATAAATATTGAAATCAATAGTTTGATTGTAACAATGATTGGAGCGTCATCGGTGATTAAAATCCTAGTCAAACGGTTCTCTGAGCTTACTGTTGGAAAGGACTGTACAGTAGAGCAATAAAGGTTCATATCAACCTTATTGGTTCACTATCAAAGCAATATGTAAAGTAGTATTACAAAGTTGGTTAGGAATTGGATTATTTGTATGTTGGTTAAGTGATATTCTTATTAGATTATTACACCGTATCTCAACTAAAGTGCTAACATACTTTTTCGTATCCCCATTTATATGTTTTGATAATAAGTAACAAGTAAAATCAAAAACTGTATTTTGGTTCGTTATAACTGCTGATTCGGATAACTTGTTTACTTTTATTTGCATCAGTTTTCACTGATCTGACGTAAGCAACGTCCTTAGTATCAGTCTAATACCTATTTGTTGAACCCACACTTTTGCATAAGGGTTAGTTATCAATGACAGTGAATCCTGGAGTGAACGCTCAGATCTTTGCTTTACTAAAAAAACTGATTCAATAACAAAAACCAAACCCAGTCACCATGATCATGAGTGCCCAATCTCTTGAGTTTTCAAAGGAATATAGTTACTGTGTTCCAGAAAATTGCCAACGTAGCTTCAAGGGGCCTTTGATTTTAAAATCTCTTTGGTTGATATCTACTTAGGATGATTTTTCTATTAGTGCCATTTAATCACTAATTTTCTACAACTACTGTCCTGATTGAGAACACTAAGGTTCCATTAATCAGGTTACCGACATCCAACTTGCTTAATGAGTATTACTTATACATTTAATAACTCAGCAGTAGTACGTAGTTTTCACTTAAACAAATATACTGTGAAAATAAACACTGCTATCTAAACTTATTCTGTTTTATTCATCCTCTTTACAGCTAAACCGCTCTGATTCAATTGTAAATCGTATGTCCAAAGAATTTAAACGAACACAAATAACAATTGAAGAAAGTGCACAGAAAGTAAACAGTCTATTTGGGCAATTGAAAACAACTCAAGAAAAATTGAATGTAGCAAATGAACAATTAAGTGAAGTGGAAAGTAACAGAAAAAGTTTGCTAAAAGAATTAGAAGAATACCAAAGTTCTCACCATACGCATGATAGCGAAGTATGAAAAAGTGAATTTCTGTGTTATTATTTTAGTTTTTGGTTAAAGTTCTGTTAAATCGAGCAGTTGTATGTTTCATGCCAAAACACCTGGTCGACCGTTCAGTTGTATATTGAGCGGACTACACGACCCGGCCTATAAATTAATTTAAACTTTAGTACAAACACCAAGTATCGTCTGTTGTATAGGTACGTCACAGTTGTTTGCAATTCAGTACATCAGCTAACCAGCCAGGTTTTCGCATCTGAATTCAAATCTGGTTGAATCATGCAAATCGAAAGAATATTAACGGTTACTAACTATTTTATACTTTTCGCAATTCATTTTTTTATACCCATGTAACTTCAAAGATTCTAAAGACCATTTAGTGTAGCTCGTTTAGACTAGATTTTCCATGTTGTAAAGATTTATTCTTCATCTTATTTTTCCAAAGACACTTAAATACTAAAATAACAGTCCAATTTAGCTCCTGCAAAAACATTTTCTCTGGCAATTCAGTCCATTCAATCATATTCAATATGAACTTGACCTCACATTATTCACTCACACAAGTACCTCATTTTGTTTTATAGCATTATACCAATTCAAATCAATCTATGGTGTAAGTTTAACAGGAATGATAAAAGTATTTGTTTGTTTTGCAGTTGATCTTTAAAAAGACCATACAAATTAATAATTAATAATTTATATATTCTTAAAATAATAATTACAGAATTCATGCCAGTTTACAGGCGTGATCAATTTGATATAAATAGTAATATTAGATGTACAGAACAAACATGTGATAGAAGAAAGTTTTAAGTATACTAGTTCAGTAATTGTTTAGGTAGTACATGTATTACAGCGATCCAATGCATCAGCCGGGAATTCTTAATATTTCTTAAATGGACAGCCTGTTGATTTATGAACGGTGTAATTAAGGTCATTTCGTGTGCCAGATCGAATTAATGATAATTATCTGCAATTAGAGAAATTAAAACGAAAGCAGAGAGCACGGAACAACAAAGCAGTAATTACCAAAATATGTCAGTCAGGTCTACCAAAATGCGTGTGTCATGTGACTCAGTGATATACTGTTAATATTATTCAAATTAGTTAAACTTTCTGGGGACGGTGTTAACATAAAGTGACAGCAAGTAGGTGGTTTTACTTAGGGAATGCCCTAATAAAAGTGGCTAAACATTTAAGGTTCCTCTTATATCACTTGTGGAATGAGATACACTTACAGGTTCTAAAACTTTCAATGCATTTTCAGAGGAGCAGTATGCATCGATGCAGCGAACAAATAATGGGAGTGATTTTATTGTACGGATAGATTGTGGTAGGTTATTCCAGAGTCTAGAAAATTTACAGGTAAAGTAATTCATATAAAGAGATGATTTAGAATAAGTTTGTTTCACTAGTGCCAAGGAATTATGGATGTCATAATGAGAAGCTTCTGCATATTGAATCACGTGATTGGATGTAAAGGATAGTTTATTAAGTAGTTTGAAGAAAAAGATAAGATGTAGTTTGAGTCTCCTCTTCCATAAAGGGTCTAGCCCAAGTTTATTACATCTAGAATTATAAGTTAAGATACAATCAGCTCCAAGAATACGAAGTGTAAATCGTCTCTGTACTGATTTCAGCCTTAATTTATCCTTTATGAGTGTACTGCTAAGAATAAACGTGCAACATTCTAGAAGAGGTCAAACACAAACTTTGTACATTAAAATACGTGACTCATTGCTATAAAGGCTTCGAGTTATGTAACCTACTAGACGTTGAGACTTAGGGGTCTGTTTCAATATCTGTTCTGTAAACGACAAGTCTTGGGAGTATCTAAGTCTACTACTGTATGTAACCATTTATGGTAAGGTCTAGGTTGAGTGATGTATAGCCGAAGCATATCTATCCACATTTAGCCGTATTAAGCTCCAGTTGCCATTTTAAGCACCACTGTGCTACCTTGTTAAGCTACATGCTGATGCAATTTTGCATATTTTCCAGCTCATGTGGAGAAAGTGAATATACTACTTTAAGATCATCTGCATATAGAAGGGGCTTATCCAAACGAAAACTTTCACAAATATCATTGATAAACACTAAAAAGACCAAAGGGCCTAAGACACTACCTTGTATTACACCACTTCTAACAGGGACAGCGTTAGACAATGAAGAGTTAATTTTAACTATTTGATGTCGATTGCTAGGAAAAGAATCAAACCAAGCTAGCAAAGGATTTTGAACCCCATAAGATGCGATTTTACCTATAAGAAGTTGGTGGTTAACCATGTCAAAGGCTTTAGAAATGTCCAGATATAGTACTAACACTAGATATCCTTGATTACGTAGAGAATAGACTAAATTAAAGAAGTCAAAATGACATGTCATGCAAGATCGATTTTTAAGAAATCCATGTTGAGTATCACTGATGAATTTTCCAGCGAATAAATAGTTGAAAAGTTCATCACTTATAATATTTTCCATAATCCTAGAGATAACTGGAGTAAAATTTATCGGCCGATAATTGTTCATGTCAGTCTTATCTCCAGATTTGTAACGTGATATGATGTACGCGGTTTTCCAACAGTAAGGGTAAGAACCAATTTCCATAAAGAGAGTAAACAGCTTTAGAAGAAGAAGTGGAATATCTGGACCACCATATTTGTAAGGAAAGGATGAAATCCCGTCTGCTCCATGATCTCTCGAAAGCTTAAGGGTATTTATAGACTTATTAATTTCCATGCATGTGAAGGAGATAGATTTTATTGAGTTGCTAGTCACGCACATAACTCTTGAAGCAGAGCCACTTATGATTTCTACACCATTCGCAAAAATACCACTGAAAAAGTCTGCTATAGTTTTAGAGTCGTATATAAAAGTGCTATTATGCTGGATGCATGGTATATCAACATTTTGAGTTGCTTTAGCGTGTTTATTGAAAAGGAGAGTTAGGTTTTGTATCTTTGCGTTAGTGTTAAGTGTTAGTATCTTCTCAATAATGACTTTTAACCTATGTTTCTCTTTAATTTGATTAAAAATTTTTGTTATTTGTGCAACTGCCGTGAATTCGTTTGACTCAAAATAGCGATTCCGTAGGCATCTTAGTTTATTACGATATTTAGCTGGTATATATAATTCGTAAGGTCTACTAAACCTGTACGTTTTAAGAGGTATATAGGAATCTAAACAAGAGTTAATGATCAGATAGAATTGATAAAAATTAGCAATTTTATTCAAAACATGGAACTACTTAATTCAGAAATGTTTTAGTCCATTCACATTGAAAACCCTATCATGTACTTAAGAAAACTTAATACACATAAATGGTGTTTATTATAACAGTATTCATAACGATCTTTTATGTGTAGTTTCAAACTATATTAAATTATTCTTGTGAATGCTATTATATTTAATTCAAAAAGGTTCAGTCAATGGAAGTTCAGGTCAATTATCTGCTAAGTGAACTTGGACAAATGAACGATCACTTGACAACAAATCAAAAAGAACTGACTGATTCAAAAGCAGAAGTAGATTCACTAAGAGTAAGTTTAAACTAAAATTAACTTCAACTGTATTAGAGTGTTGGGAAATGCGATATTTTCCAAATAGGCGACCTAAATCACCTATAAAAAAGTTTCTTAGTAATTGACATGTTGGATGTTTAAGCAGTAAGTGTACCCTTCAATTCTAGTGTCCTAAACTAGCAACGCCAATCACTGATCTCTACGGACATATTCAAAAAATTCGTAAAGACTCATGAGTTTTTCATGTTCAACTGTCAGTTCGAAGAGGATTAAACTTTGTCTTTATGATAGTTGGAGGCTGCACCGAGTTATTAGGAGAATAGTAGAATTTCATTTTTATAGTATTGGTATGAGTTCCCTGATTGTATTTAGCCTTGAGTTCGTTTTTGAATTAGGGTTCGATCATGTAGCTGGATACTAGCCATAACAGAAAATTTTTAAACGATTGGTCATTCAAAAATTAAGGAATTTTTTATATTTATCGGATATTTAGTGATAGCTAACGTAAATATTGAAATAAAGAACGTGTACATTCATCGAATCTGTAAAAACAATTTTATAAGACTGATTATTTCATTATATCTGAATTTTCTTAAAATGTATTTAGTCATGCAATCTTTGCTATGATGCAACTAACTGAAATTTATTATTATTCTGTAGTACCTAAGTGAAAGTTCTGAATACAGTTATCAAAAGTACCTTTGTATTTTTCGACTTTATCTAGAATATAATTATTACACCTTTGATCAGGGATACGTTAAGTGGTAAAATAACTTAAACTTCTAAGTCCTGTGTATCAAATCAGTTTATATAGAGTTTTCAGGAATTCTAAAACAGCACCAAGCAGTCAAATTATCAGATGTCAAATCACAAATTCTAATGAGAGCTTTTTACGCTGATACATTCATAAGACTATTATGAACATCTAGCAACTATTTTATAATGAAAACGTTTATACTACAACAAATTCTGTTGTTTTCTTTGAACTGATATGTCACTTTATAACGTAGAATTTATGTCGATTTTCCTGTAGTGAATTTAGTTACTTTCTCGTAAAGGAGAAATTTAAATTATAAATAGCTGTCAAATGGAATGTTGACATTATATAAAAATTGACATCTGTAATGAAGCGTCATTTTAATTATAAATGATGTTGTTATGGTCTGCGCTACTTATGAGGACAGAAATAAGTAGTATGTAGAAGGAATTAGAAGTAGAATGCTTACTAGTAAAAGACTGAAATAAAGAGAAGTGAGAGGAAAACGAAGAGCAACTGGAATCACAACCAGATCAGAGGAGTTATGATGTATCCAAAGAACAACTGAAGAGAGATATGCAAGTGATGTATTTAATGTATGAATTTCATATTTTACAAAGGCATTGTATAATCTGTCATAAAATAATAAATTGTCTTGCCGTACTTGAGCTTCCGTTGACTAAAACGCAAAGAACAGTGTGTTGCAGTTCTCATATTCTAAGGAGCTGTATACGGTCGATATAAGACCCTTAAGTTTACAAATGTTTATTACTTATTCATTGATTAACGTTGAATTTTACAATATTCTAGTAACGTTCGATTACCTTTAATCATTTACTCTTCAAATTACTTGAAGCAAACTATCGGTAAACTTTAGGCGCTTCTCCTACATACTAACTGTTTTACAGAAAATAAATGGTATTTTTATGAACATTTTCTAACTGAATATCTAATAGGTTTTCTTATCAAAAAGCCTTTTGCCTTCAACTTAAAATGATCCACAAAAATATCTTTATCCCTTGATCATTATTCTTTATAAGATAAAGTAGTTGAAATCAATCTTTAAGCAAATTTACTAATCTATTTCTCTTTATGTATCATGGGATACATGTGATATTAATTATGGAAAAATTTAAGTGGAAATTACTTTCAATAGTTAGTTCAATCAACAAATTAATTCTTTCTTGAATTATTGTAGAAACGAAATAATGAGTCTACACTTGAAATACAACATTTAAACTCAATGCTGAATGAAAAACAAATAAAATTGGATGAATTAGGAAGACAAGTAATCGAAATGGAGAACCAACTAAGTTCAGCTGACCAGTATACTCAGTCATTAAGTTCAGCTAATGATGACTTAATGAACGAATTAAAAAATAGAACTAATGAAATAGAAAAATTACAAAATGAAATCAAACAAAATATGACAGGAATACAAAATTCTGAATTTATGGTGAGTCATCTGGTAATTACATGAATCTCTATACTATTTTTGGTGAAATGCACCCTCAGAGATTGATTGTGAAAGTTTCACATAACTGATCTATCTATAATTTAACAAACTGGGAGAAATTCGCTCAAATCATTCAATGAACTAGACAGGTGTCCAGTGGTTTTAATTGGTTCTGAAAATAAAGCCAGTCTATGGTGTAAATAAACCCAAAATACATTTTTGTAACGGTAACCATATAAGATAAACAAACAATACCGTTTTGCATTAGATTCTCATCAGGATTTAATCTAATATACAATAATATTTATATGCATATATGAAACCGCTAAACTAATAAAGACATTTTATTGGTCAGTGATAGCAGTGAAAAAGGTCACATAAATGAACAAAATAAGTAAAAAGTACAAATTGATAGTGTGTTGACAGATGTACTAGTTGTGATAAGAATAATCAATGTTTGAATCAATATTTCATTATGGGAAGTAGGCGAACAATGAAATGACACTGATTAAAAATTATGATATCACATGCTAAAAAGTGCTTGGATAATTGGACAATGAAGCAAATATTTTGAAAGATGGAGTGAAGAAAAATAAACGAAGAGTATAGAATATAAGAATAAATAAGATCGTTTATTAGGGCTAATTTGCAAACGAAGTGATGAGGATCTTACAGATTTGTAATGAACGTAGACTTGGATTGTTAGGTCAAATACCTACAGTTTTTGCTATCTATATGAGACAAGATAGAACCTCAAAAGGAAAGCTAGTAGTCATGCAATAAATTGATTTAAACGATTTATTTATATATACTAAATGAACGCTATCGGTCAAATGTAATAGCACGGAGGTGAGTACTTTTTTAATTATGCCCTTTCCTAACCACGAGGGCAGATGTTCACTAACCCGCTTGCTCCGTTGTCTGGTTGTGCACCAAATGTAGATTCCTCCACAGGAGCAACTGAATACGTAGATACATAAGAATGTGGAGAAACCAGGTAACTTACCCTTTAGTTGTAGATTTACTATAGGTGAGCTAGAAAACTATAGACAAATGTTAGCTGCATTACTACGTAATTCCAAAATTTTTAATCAGTGTCATTTCATTGTTCGCCTACTTCCCATAATGAAATATTGATTCAAACATTGATTATTCTTATCACAACTAGTACATCTGTCAACACACTATCAATTTGTACTTTTTACTTATTTTGTTCATTTATGTGACCTTTTTTACTGCTATCACTGACCGAATCTACCCATGCCTTCCATCTTTGTTTGTGCATTACACTACTTATTTTCAAAGAAGTAGCCTGAGATTGCAAAGACATTTATTCAGTTTGGAATGTGTGGTTTCTCCACAGTAGGGTATTGAGTTTTCGGAAGTTTTCGTAAAACTCTCGAGAGTTAAAATTGAATATCTGCCACACTTCACGCATTAATCTGCCCAGAGTGAAACGTTGAAGTTTTTCAATTTCAATTACTGAGATTTCTACAAATATAATTGAAACAACCAAAACAAAAATGAATCAAATATATTTTTCGTTTCCAAATAGTCTAAATGTATTCGACTTTTTCTACGACTTATCTGTTCCATTGACCAATATTCTTTTGTTGCAATAAATAACTTATTCTCTTTATTTATAACTATATTTAGGCACTCCACTTCATTTTTCTAGTATGAAGGTGTCTTCTTCCTCTTCTTGTTCAATTTACATAAACATCCTACTCTTTGGCACTGTATTTATCGCCGCAGGCATTTCACAGCCATGTTTTATTTCGTATGGTTTTATTCAGAAGCTTAAATCTTTGATACGACATATAGGAAGTAAACTCGAAACTTGCTACCGGTTATTTGTCCACTAGTTATCCACCTATTTAACAAACATTTTAACAATTGTGCTGTACTCCCAGCTTGGTCAACTGATTCTGGATGATTAGATGAGAAATCTGTTTTTACAAAATGCTTATTATTTCTTAAGAGTAATTCAAAACGCAATAAATGTCCTGCATGCATAACTTATATATCTCAATTAAGTTAACCCTTAAGTTATGAGATGTTACCGAGTATTAAACAGTCAAATCATTTGAGTTCGGCAAAATCATACATACCAGGTCATTTGATGTACCAATACAATAAGAAACTATGGAGATAACCTTATTTCTGAGTTTATTTCTCGAATAAGCTACGTATTAAGTAGCAACTATCATCATAACATAGTGGTAAAAGAAATAAACGTGTATTTTCTATGCATATAAACATTTGTAAACATAATTAGTTTAAATAAATAAATGATACAAACTTTTAGTCATAGAAAAGATTGTCAAATATTCGGATAATCTACTACTTCTATTATGTCACACACTGTAATAATTGGATTCATGTTTGTTAAATTTTAAACATATTTATTTTTTCAACTAAACTACTAGATACAAGAATTAGAATTCAGTGTTCAACAATTAACTAAGCAACTTGAACAATCAGAACTTTTGCGATTGGAAGCAGAAAAAGCCAGTAATCATGCTGTCAGTGAATCAGCTGCCCTTAAAATTGAACTGGCTAAAAAAGATGAACGAATTATTAATTTACAAAATACTGGCGATGCAATTACACAAAAGTTAAAATCACTTGAGCAGACATCGAATCAAACTGAACAAATTATCAATAAATATATTAACTCTGTAAGTAATATTTTACTTTCACAAGTTCAAAGCTTAAAGATAAATTTGAACTATGAACAGTGACCATAACGCTTTCACGATCCCAGATCAATTAAATTTTTATTCTATAAAACATCAAGTATATCATGCCTAAAATACCTCATACTATCAGTCTTTTTAAAAATGCAAAATAAAAAACAAATATATCCACTTGCTAATAGTCTCTGTCTAAGAGATAGCATAAATATAAAAACTAGAAGTATCTCGATAAGTCCAGATTGAATATTCCAATAGGTGTGTCAGTCTTTACGACGACGTTCACAGTTTTGAACACGTTAAATTATAGAAGTAGTAACTATAAGTTACTGCATATCTTATTTTGAGAGTGCTGATTGGTTGTGTAATTAACATACAACAAGAAGCTTGTATGTAGATAAGATGAAAAATGTGCCTTGAAAATACTATATGCCAACAGCATATCAAAACAATGATGAAGCTGTATTTTATATTTAGTTCATATTGTATATCATCTAACCAATCTGAACAATGATTTTCAAGTCATTGATTAAGGTACAGCTAGCTTACATCATAAATCTAGATTACTTTTCTTGCTGTGCTCAAAAGCCATTGATCTTTCTCTGGACATACTAAACAAGAAATTTTATTACCCTTACAGTTCATTTAAATGAGACTCTAGCCAGATGTTCTTTATCGTATGTCCTCTCTCTTGAAGATAGTACTTTTAACGTAATCACATCTCTAAATCTAACTTAAATGAGTTATAAACATCGAATTTTATCTAATTTATTGTTAATTATAATAGGAGATTGAAAAAGATAGCACGATTCAACGACTTCAGACGGAATTGGAATACATACGTCACCAGTTAATTGAAAGTGAGACAGAACTACAAAGCAGGTCTTCACAAATAAAATCATTAACGTGTGAATTAGAAGCTGTGAAAGCAGACCTGGCAGACTGTACTCTGCACAGAAATTCAGAAAATCTTGCACGTAAACGTATTGAGGTAAGTGAAGGTAATTAGCTTATTCTATTCGTTTATTAGTTTCAAATATAGTTTTGAAATATTAAGAGATAATGCAAACAGGTTTCTTCACCATGATAAGTTGCTGCTGATGGTATCCAGTCAACGAACATTAAATATCTTGCGCAGACAATCGTTTAAAAATACTTGTACCTCTCGATGACAGTTGTGCTAGTTCTCCAAGTTTCAGCTCCGTATAGTATAACTGTGGTGACATTCGTATTGAAGATTGTGATTTTGATATTGGTTGACAATTGTTTCGAGTTCCATATGTTATTCAAGTGTAGGAATGCTGTCCTCGCTTTGAGAATTCTTGCATTTACATCTGCATCAGATCCTCCTTGTACATCGATGATGCTATCCAGTTACGTGAAGGTTTCCACCTCTTCCAGAGTTTCTCCATCACGTGAGATTGTGTTGGTGTTCCTCTGTTGTATTTGAGTATCTCGGTTTTCCCCTTATGTGTGTGTGTTGAGGCCTACTGATACAAAGGTGCCCGCTACATTGGTTGTCTTGACCTGCATTTGTTGTTGTGTGTGTGATAGAAGGGCCAGGTCATCTACAAAGTCCACATCGTCTAGTTACATCCAATCTGTCCATTGTATTCCGTGTTGCCCCTGAGATGTAGAGGTCTTCAAAGTGCAATCAATCACCAAAAGAAAGGGAATGGGTGGGAGGAAACAGCCTCGTCTGACACCGGTCTTCACTGGGAGTGCATCTGTCGGCCGTCCTCCATGCACGCAACTTTGCAGTGTGGTCCGTCGTATGAATTTCGGACGATGTCGGCAATGTTCACAGGTACCCCATGGTTTCGAAGAAGGTTCCATATGGTCCTCCTATCCACACTGTCAAACTCCTTCTCATAGTCAAGGAAGCTGATGTGTGGTGAGTGACTATTTCCTTCCAATTGATTGTTAACAATGCTCCGTGTGTCGCGATTTGGTCTGTGCACGACCGATCCTTACGGAATCTGGCCTGTTGATCTTTCCGAATAGAACGTGGAGAACGTGTACGGCTACCTGTATGTCTGACTCCAATGCTTCATCTGGTATGTTATCTGGTTTTGATGCCTTCCCACTCTTGATTTGTCTGATGGCCATTTTGATTTCTTCGATTGTGTGTGGGGTGACATCTGTGTGGAGGAGTGTGTATGTTGCTTGGATGTGTGGAGGATTGAGTTAGTCTATTCTATTCAAGAGTTCTCGAAACTGGATCCTCTGAATTTTTCATTAAATCAAAGATGATTTACTTGATTGTCTATATTGTGGTCAGGTAATAATGCTGCTTTGTGTACAGATTGTGAGGTGCTCTACCCATCTGTTCCACTGTTCTTGAAGCCCAGTGATTTGGTTGTCTTCTCTGTCTTTGACTGTTCTCTCTGGTTTACTCTATTAACCTGCCTGTTCCTTCGTTGTGTCTTATAGTTTTTTTTCGCAATTCCTTCCCTTGTAGCTTTTTCTGCTGTTGTTAGTAGGTCTTCTACATATTTCTATTTGTCTGCTGCAATGCTCCTCTTCATTCGTTTGTCTGCTTCTGTTTACTCGTCCTTTGTCTCGGCTTTATCTTCTCTTGTTGATTGATGTCTATTTTTTCTTTATTTCTTGAGTCTTACCTACGGTATCATTTGAGGTCCATTCCTTGTAGCCCAGCACATCGTGGCACGTTGATGTTAATGCCTTTTTGATCCCTTTCCAGTTGTTCTGCATAGCAGATTCCCCTTGAAGTATATCTTTTAGGGCTTGGAACGTATTGCTGAGATCTATCCCGAATTAGTTGAGTTTGTCAGTATCCTGAAAGAAAGCTTTATTGAACTTTTGTGATGTCATTTTTACAGTTGGTCAGTATTTCTTTAGCTTCAGTTTCATCTTGGACACAACCAGGTGGTACACCATTATTCTTCAACCTGATCGTCTAAATGTAACGTAGTCACTGAAATATCTGAAAGTGTTGGACCTAATGCTTAATGGGCTGATGACGGTACACTGTTAATCAATTGAATTGAAGTTTAAAAGGCTTTGAAATCCCGACTAACTTTCAATGGCTCTCCAGCTGAAATCAATTCATGATGAGATTTCCTAGATTTGATTTATCATGTCATCACATTAGATTTCAATACATATCTTTATAATTCTAAGTAGTTTAGGTCAACGGTCTGTATTACTCTAGCTTTTCTAAATATGCATTATCTGTTATTAGAAATTTCCAAGGAGTAAACGACGTTTGTCGATTCACTGGTATTCGAATTCATTTGACTAAGTTGCGTTGGGTTCCAATCCTAATAGATCTTTAATTCCCTTCCAATTAAATGCATGTCTTGTTGACGAGTATCAACTACTTCAAACCACTTAGCTATTAACCCACTTTCCATCTTGAATGTAACATAAAAGAATGAAGTTATGATAAAAACAACTAAATGACTACTGAGAGCAGGTTTCGCAGTATGGAATTCATAAGATTCAGATTTTTGACCAAGTAAATGGTTTTATTGTAACATACTTGAAAAACGGAGCATCTTGAGATTGGTTTCCAACCTTCCGAGTGGATATTTGATTGAAATTTATTTAGGATAGCATTCGTTCTGGGTGAATGATATGCGATTGATGGGGAATGACGCTGGCTACAGATGGTATCCAGGATACATGTTTCGAGATGGTGGAGAAGATTTGTAGCCCAAGTGGATGATTTTGATGGAGTTTTGTTTTCTGAGCTGGATGGTTTGGTCAGAAGAACGATGAAAGCTCCACGACCGACCCATCCAGCTCAGAGAACAAAACTCCATCTAAAAAAGGATACATGTTTTTCACAACTTTCAGGGGAACACCCCTGTATCCCAATGAATGAAATAATAGTAAAAGTGTTCAAGAGTCCAAACTCAATGAAATGGCGTATGGTACATAGTTTTTATGTTACAAAAAACCGACTACTCATTTAGTTATGTTTTTTGTGTAGTAAGGAGATTTCGAGATTGCCATTTGGAGATTTTCAGTCATTTCGAGATTCTTAATTCTGCCAGTTTACTAGTGAGTGACAACTGAGTACTTTTATTACTCTTCGTATCTATGTCTATGTTTATAGTTAGAAGTGGCGGATCTTCGGGAAATGAAACTAGCTTTTACAGAACAAATTGAAAGACAAGAGCAATTCATTGAGCGGTTACAATCTGAGCTTTCAAACGAACGTGAAAGAAACGATTTTCTTAATAAAATTAAAACAGATAAAGAAAGAGAACTTCATAGTATCACAGTATGTTCACCGATAAAATTCTTGATATAAATATTAACTAATTACTCCTGCAATAAAATTATGCTAAGATTATTATTAATTTCTTTGAATCATGATTAAATGAATGATTTTCAAACAGTTTCTATTCTAAACCAGTGTAAGCTGAAAACTAATGGTAATAAGAGCCAACATTACAATGAATAGGTATCTGTTGCCCTATGACTTGTATTGCTGCATTAACTGATTTCAAGTAGGAGTGAAAGCCAAATAACCAAGTTTACATTTTTACGAGTATCTAAACGAGACATCTTTCAAAATACGGTCTTTTATTCTAGGATTAAAAAACTAAATCTCTTTTATAATAGTTGATACCAGAATTACGTAAAGTTGTGTCGATTTAAAAAAATTGTTTATTTTCTGAAGAGACTACTCAAACTAAGTAGCGATACTTTATTCAAAAGTTTAGGTTCATAAGAACATAAATTCTTTGTTAAAATACTCCCAGTTTAGTTAAAGTCTCTGATGTTTTAAGTATCGCTGACCACTGGGATAAATGAAGAGAAAATGACCTTTCTCACAAATTACCAGTAAAGATAATGGGTAACTAGCGAAAGACATTAATAATAATAATAATAATAATAAATTCGTGACAGGTAATCCAAAATTAGACTGAACCAAATAAACATATTTAACGGTACAAACATGTTGTATGAATAAGATAATCAAAAATGAAATGTGAAGTTTAACCGAAAACAAAACAGATCGTGTGGATATACAGATCGAACCAGCTGTAGAATATTATGCCAAAAATGATACTTTATTTTTAACGAATAAAATGAATGACAAAAACCATTTTGGCGATGTATATCCAACAAGAAAATAATGAAAAAGCCAAATTTAAGATCTAAAATATCTTAAGTCGGGAGTAAAATGTAAAAATTAACAGAAATCAATCATCAAATTAAATAAAACGGTGTTGAAAGATGCTTTGTTTAATTTTGAGTAGTATGAACAAGAGCAGATCAGTAAATAAAGATTAGAAACAAAGTTACATTTGAAGGTAACTTACTTTAAGCTATACAAGTTACGGTTGACACAATGAACATATTAAATAGGGGATGATTCACAGACATACCTGTAGCAATATTACACTCGTCAACAAAGCCTGCCTTAGACAATCGACTGGTAGGATCCTATTCTCTCCTTTTCTTTATTGATAAAATAACTTGCTGGATAGGCTCTAGGAGCGAATTGGGTCTGTTATAAATTATTTACAAATGGTCTTACTGAGGTAAGGCGTACGAAACAGAGTATACTGAAACAGAAATTCATACAGATTTTCACATGAAGAGACATTTCCCAATAATCGTCATAATCCAACTTAAATTTTTGTTTGTAGGATATCAAGTTTGAACTATAAGAGGAGCTTGTTTTCGTAGCCTTGTTGTTATTATGGTGGTTTCGGAGGATTTCCTTTAGTTCTTCATATTAATAAATACCAGTTCAAACTGGTAAATATAGTCTAATTATCCAAATTGTTAAAGCGAATAGTTGATGAAAATATGTATGAAGGGTTTTGATTGGCAAGTTCACAGCCTTGAAGATACAATTAAAATTATTAATTGGTAAATCCCTTTTGAAATCAATGCACGATGTTCCTACAAAATCGAAAGAAGTGTTTGTTTTACAACCTAGTTTAGCCCCCATCGGTGTAACATTGCTCCAATAACTAACTAAAATACGTCAAAACAAAGTTAAACCCTCATCCTAGACGCCACTAAAAGTTAAATACAGATTTTCAGCCTTGAAAAGTCAAGGTTGTTTTAAAAAAGAGGTTTAGAATTTTGGTATTTCTCACGATAAACTCAAGAAAGATTGAAATATAGACGTAAATTAGGAAATAAAATGTATCAGATTCTAGATATGACTGGCAATGATCTAGTTTATTGATGATTTGATGATTATGAAAATGTCTGCTACAACTTTCCTAATTACTTTTGCATCGTAGATTTCGTCATTATAACCCAATAAAATTGGGAGAACAAGGGATCAAAACATACCTATCTAGGTCTGTAATCACTTTAAACCACTGAAAACAACCGAAGTATCCAGAAATATGAAATAATTCTCAAAGGAAATACTATATACGTTTATTTTATACGGCACTACTCAATTTAAACTGAATAATTAGAAACTTATGTAACCCATATTCAATTTTTTTACTATAAAGGATTAATGTAATAGACTACACGTTCCTAGACTTCAATCGCAGTAAAACTTGCTCACTAAAAGATATCTAAAACTAATTTTTTTGATTCTCACACTTTTGAAATATTGTTACATGGCACATCTAAATTGTTTTGCCAACTCATTTTCTCAGTTTATATAACTCTACCAAATGATAAAACTTCACTCATCAAGAAAATATTATATCAGTTATGTTAATGTTATTTTTTGGTCATAGAATGAAGTGGACCATCTACATCAACACAACAAAGAACTTTCTAGTCGTTTGCTAGAACGTGAATCAGCTTTAGATTCTATGTCACGTGAATTGGAAATATTTACTTCTAGACTAGATACAACTTCAAAAAGTTTAACAGAAACTGAAGCAGAATTATTAGAAACAAAACATAAATACGAATTATCTGAAGCTAAAGCAAATAAGCAAAAAGATGAGGTTAGTTTGATTTATATATGTACCTTACTTTAAGAGTGTTTTGTTTGTTTTACTATTAAGTAATGAATAGTTTGATCATAAACCGTGAAACATATATCATTTATATACGGTGACTTTGATTGATGTCCAATTGAATTCACTTATTTATTCACAGAATATATCATCAAGTGGTATGATTTGGAAGTTACTAAAAACCAAGAAGAACGTGAAATACATTTTGACAGTATATTTTCGGGAACCTAACTTGCAACATGCTGGGTTACCTAGTTTGGATATACTAGCTAATTTGCATTTATTCCTAATAGGTCAAAATCGTCTACTAATACATTTCGACGAGGCTACTTCTCATTCTCAAAATATTATGTTCTTAAATGATATTATTAACTATAACTGAGTAGTAAATTAACTTTGATATACATTATTACTAGAAGTTTGTATTTTTAAATGAGTAAAAAGACAAATTCGGTATTTTTACTTTCTGTTGATTATTCATTGCTAACAGCTTCATCAAAATGATTGTCAACCAGAATTTTAAAAAATCTCAATCTGTATCAATTCATTCACTCAACAACGCAGATTTACTTGATACAGGAGAACTTTGATTGGATATAAGCCGAGATTTTTGTAAATTCTGGTCTACTTTTACTTTGATAAAACTATGACCATCCATAAAAACACTTGACTTTTTGTTTTCACTCATTGGAAAATACAAATTTCTAATAATAGTGAATATTATTTACCAAATGCCCAAATTTTTTAAACTACTCAATCTGAACTCTGTTTGAATACCCATGCATTTACTATGATATAGTCTATTACCAATTGTTAGTTGACTGCTGTTCAAGTACTGGTCTCAATTAACTTACCTAAATCAAATAATAGTCTAAATATGGTTCTGATAAAGAAAAATAAAAAGCATGATCTATTGAATAGTGAATTTTTTTTCAAACTGATATTAATTTAAAATCAAAATGTTGGAAAAGCAATCGAGTCTCAAGCGTGACAAATCTTCGCATATTTCAGTAATGAAATGCTTACCTAATTTTATAGATCCCATTAATTTCAGTTTAATTGATTTTCTACGTGAACATCTTATACACAGAAACACTCTTCAGTAGTTCGTATTAAATGAAACAGCTTATCAGTGTTTGTTGGTTTCTAAAGGTTCTCCAACTTCGAAGTTTTAGATCCACTAATCGTTCCCCTTAAGATGAAGAAGCCTTATGACTCCGTCAAGAGTAAACACACCACTACAGGTTACTGATTCATGAGTTTACTAATTATTAATCAGAATATATTAAAGAAATACGGATTTCCTCAAAGGAATTTCCAAGATAATAGGATTCTGTAGTTGCAGACCCTATTAGGCATAGCTTGGAACTAATTATAAATCCATTCACTATATTTGCTCTTCTTAAATATCTTGCTACTTTTTAGATAATTTCCGGTGAAACTCACTTATATAAAATGGAGTAACTTAAATTTAAGATAGTTATACGACATTTTGAATACATAATGTGACGAAATCATACCCACAATACTGAGGAAAATTAGCACAAATGAACACCTAGTAGCATAGTGATATTACGCAAGTTTCATGTGCTAACTTACGTGAAATTCAGTGAGTAAAAAGAACATGCCTTAAGAATGAGCCAGTTTCTCTGGTTCAATTCATTCAACTGACTAACAGAGATGATCGGTGAGAATAAATACAATACAGATATAGTTTTGTATTTATCTCCTACATATACGTCAGTCCCACGATCTGACAAAGGACGTTGAGTGCATACAAATGTTTAACAAATGTAACACATTTCAATGGTTGAAATCATGATTCAATTGAAGCTATACCACCATGGAAAACCTGGAAGCACTGGACGACCGTTTCGCCCTACTACGGGACTCCTCAGTAGTGCGCACCCACGATCTCGCTCCCCGCGAGATTCGAACCCAGAATCTATCAGTCTCAGGCGCGAGCGCTTAACCATTGGACCACTGAGGCGTTACCAGTGGAGTTCAGCCAGGTCTGTTGTGAGATATCAACTCCCCGAAGACAATGGTGTACGGTGGCGCAACTTCGTGGATTGGTTGAAGTTAGGCAGTAACACCGTTGGATGCCGGCTCAGTGGTCTAATGGTTAAGCGCTCGCGCGCGAGACTGATAGACCCTGGGTCCGAATTTCGCGGGACCGTGAATGCGCACTGCTGAGGAGTCCCATACTAAGACGAAACGGTCGTCCAGTGCTTACAGGTTTTCCATGGTGGTCTAGCTTCAATTGACACATGATTTCAACTATTGAAATTTCTAAAAAAAAAGTCCCCACAAAACCCTTTCTAAAAATATAACATAAATTGACCAATAGCAGACTATTAACCTGCCGTGCATTATATTGTCTAAACACTTCGTAAAATCGGCTTTTGTAAAGTTTGTACGGTAACTTTCTTAATCAACTACTGACACGTAATATCAAACCAACCTATTATATTCATCATTACACTCAACCAAATTACTTCACTTGAGTAAATGGTGCTTAAATTAATATTTAAAAAAAGAAATAAAACCATCAAAGAACCAGACAAATTATGATTTCGAGTCTTCTCCTTAAAGATAAATTCGTATTTATATTGTTGAAAATCAATTCATATGAAGTAAAAGGGATATGGTTATAAAAGTTAGTAATTACAATAAAAGTAGGTGGTTACATGATCAAGCAACATAATTACCATGCCTTGACTATCTGTTAAACAGACTAGTCTTTTATGATTGGTAAGATATACTAACAAGCTAAGGGGTTTCGCAATTACTTACGTTTCAATTCATGCACTATTTATTCAAATAAGTCTACAACTTTGTCACCTTACATTCTTCTGTTTTAGTTGAAACAGTATGAAATAACTTTATCGAGTTTAGAATCACGATTACTTGAAAGCGAAAGTCAACTAACGAAATGCACTGGCCAATATAATCAGTATGATTCAGTTGACCGAATTCAGTGTTCACATCTAACGGATTTAGTGAAAGATCTTAAACAACAAATAACAGAATACAAAAAAGTTACCACAGTTTTAAGAGTAAGTTTCAAGATAGTCTTTCTGTTAAAAACAATAACAATCTAATGATTTTTCAGTATGATTATTAGATTAGAGTGTTATCATGACTTCATTTTCATTTTCTCAAGTGGTATCCACTTGTTAATGAAACAAAATAAAGATCAACCACCATATGATATTAGTCGTAGAAAACATGCTGCATGATCAGAGACATAATTTTAACTTCTTTTCATAAAAAAAATTTCCCATGTACCTCTTAGCTATCTTAACGTTTAGAACTCAATAAAGGTCTATTTACTTAAACATCCCTCGTAAGCGTAGAATATTTTAGTCACATGTAAATGTAACCAGTTAGTTACTTTGTTACCACTGTCTTTTACGGTGTTAGTTAAAACAAACCAACGATTTGAGTCTGCTACTTCCGTGATCGCGTTCGGTTCCCAAAACTCATCATGTCTCAATTCCATTTTACTCACCGACCTTTATACTCAGTTATTAGGAATAAGGCTAATAAGTAAGAGTCCTTTAAGTATTGAGACATAAAATGAATGTAAAACAATGCTCAGTGATAAGTATACTGAAGTTTTAAACAATTTTTAAGAAATTATTGATAAATTACTTGCGTATCTTTTCTGGTTTTCTAGCATTTTATGTAAATTAGTAATACTAATGCTTTATTGGTTTGGTCATTCACATTGTAATCACATTTCCAAATTTCTTCAGGGTTATGTGATTCACCCATTACAAAGATCAATAACATACATTCATCTTCATGTTAACCTTATCTCATGTTCATTATTCATAAAGAACTCTTTAAAAAAAGTCAAGAAAACTAACATTGCATAGCTTCTAACAAATGTTTTCTTTTATACTGAGAATGTGTTTGATTTGAGTATCACACTCTGGATCTGCATAAACAATAATAATAAACTTCATTTCATTAACTGATATTTTCTGCTCATCATCAAACAATATGACAAACTTTTACTAACACTAATATCGTACTTGTACTATTGTCGTTTGGAAACAGTTATGTACTTAAAAATTCGCTACTACGGTCTAATCCAAGTAAAGTAATGATCACGCATAGCTAAAGAAACTTAATCCCTTTCAAAAGTGAATTCAGGACTTGGTAATCATTCCCTCATGATTAAGTAATATGACTTTTCCCAAACATTTCAGGATTTTCAAATAACTTTTCTACATTTGTTTATTATAGTTGGGAAAAACAAGTTATGAATACAATCAGTATTGATCATCTTAACCCAATTCATTTGAAGAAATTATTTATTATTCATTGGTTTATTTGTGCATTTTCTCATGGTTTCTTTGCTAAGACCGAAAGAGCTCAATTACAAGAAACAGTCAATCGTCTTGAAGGTGAATTAGCTGCACGGTCAGATGCATTACGCAAAGCAACAGTCGATATTACACGTATGAAAACGAAGCATGAAACAGAATTAAGAGATAAAACAGATCATCTAAATGAATCACTTTACCAAATGGAAAATAAATGGAAAGAAGCGTGTAAAACGATTGAAAAGTTAGAGAAAGAATACAAAGATCAAGAATTCAAACTTATAGAAGCATCAACGAACGTAAGTTATATAATTTAAAGTGTTTAGCAAACTATGTAAATGATAGGCAGATAATAATCGTCCAATGAAATTAATATCACTGATTTAAAACAAGGCTTTTATGTCAATACTATCTTCAGACAGTTATTTGTTCCTTGAATAACATTGCTTGATTATTTCTGCTAACGATAATGTTATGACCTTGGATGTCTTGTTTTGCTACCACGCGACCTATCGACCAATCCGGATACGACTTATACGGATCTTTACACTAGGCCAACCAATGACGTTCAACCGGTGCGGGCAGTCTAGCGTCCTTACCGGCCCTATGTCCTCCGAGCCCTTCCACTTGAGTCCAGAACACAATACCAGCTTCGAATCAGAGCAGATCGTTTATTTCAAACATACTCGGTTTATATATCAACCAGACAGACCACAACGCACCATAAATTAGAAAATAACATGTGTACACAAATAAGTCAAAAAGTGGCTGTGCTCGAGGGGGACAGTGAATAATAGACTGAGCATAGATTAAGAACCGTAAATCGTATAATAATAAATTATAGGTCAAAATAAAGCTTATAATAAGAGGAATATAAATATACGTAATGTAATTGTTGAATAATTATACAATAAGAATATTAGTCCATTAATAGTCCTCGGGAGTTACCTGTAATTTAATCTCCACTCGGATATAACAGATAAGGTTATCAGTTTTTACACATGATTATTATAGTTTCCTTTCGTTTTGCAGAGTAGTGATGAAAACAAACTATTAAAACAGAAACTAGATTCAATAGAGTCAAAAAACCGCATAATGCACAATGAACTTGAAACAGTTAAATTATCGAGAGAAAATTTACAAAATGAATATAATCATGTCAAGGATGAACTAGATAAATTAAGGTGACTATTTCAAAGCTTTTATATATTATTGTAAAAATAGAGTTTTAAGTACTTTATTTGGATGAAACGACAAGGTTAGTGTATTTATATGGTTTAACACATTGTACGTAGGAAAAGTATCTAAGGTATAAAACTGTCTCTTTAAGTAATTTAGTATAACATCTTACAGAACTAATTTAGCTCCGTCCAACTTATACACTAAAATTTTGAGTCAATCCCCTCAGGTTGCGTATATAACTATAGAGGTTAACAAATCGCATTCCTTAATGTTAACAATCAGAAAAATCAAACTCTTACAAATATATGTAGTATTTCCCTAAAATCCCTGATCTTTCTTTTGTGAGATAGTAAAATGCTACAAAACATCAAACGCAATAATGTAAAAGATGGTAAACAAACCAACATATTATTATTGTATTCCATTTTGACCGACCATTCATGAATCAAAAAGAAATATTCATTTTAAATTGAGATTCCTACCGTGTATTTAAGAGAAGTAGAACTCTTCACTTTTATCGAGGTAGATATATACAGTAGGAAATAAAGTTATACACTGTCTATCATTTAGGATGTATACAATCACGAATAACTTAAGGAGAATGATAAAAATGAAAGTAGATCTGAAGCTCTCTACTAAAAAAACAATGAAATGGAAAAAAAATGCCCAAACAACCTTTAAAGTAGATAAATGACGTATAATATTCATAGTTTACTCTTATTCTTCTGAGAATAATAGACTAATTTGCATTTTTATAATTCAGACTTAAAATTGAAAGTACTACAGTAAAAGTTTCGGCTGGTATTCAAGCTGTTCAAAAGTCGGAAAATGCCAGTACAAATACGGAGAATATTGAAAAAAATGAAATGGAATATTTACCTAAGCTTCAACTCCCAAGGTTTGTGATTATTTTTTGTAGTTTATCATGTTTTATTCTCATACTTACACAAAAATATACTTCATATGTAAGACTACCTAGAATGATTTTCATGGAAATTCAGCAGTTAGACATAGGTAGAATGCCGCCATATACTAACTAGTTTTGACTAATCAGTGTTTTTTGCTTATTACTACTGATTTTGGTTTAAATACTCAATATTTGCCAAAGTAACTCTAATCTCAATTATGGTGGTATAGTGCTGGTATATACCTAATCACGCAATACACTCAAACAAGATACATCCATTTGATAGAGTATCAGATGCAGACTAGAATACGAGCATTCTACGTGAGGTGAGAGGACAGAAGTATATATACGACAGAACTTATACGTGGTATACCAGATATATCCGTTTACACCCCTTCATTAACCACGCGTCACTTTGGTTGGGAATATCGAAAAGACTCAGATTTAAGGGCGAATTTCATGTAAAATATGTTCTTTTATAGCAATAATTAAAAGTCTTTTCCCAAAAAATGTTTGTCGAGACAGGAGTTGACTGCCGTAACTTTTCAAGTCGTGAATATTTCAGTTTGAAGATATGGGTACGAATTTTAATAAAAATCATAAGTTCGTGATTCTGATAATAAACTCTGATGACTCAAATAAGAAATATACATTTTATGACTTAAATATTTTGTTAAACGATGAAAGGTTTTTAAACAACATAAAGTTACCTTTAACAATAAATTTGTTTTAAAAACATTGATAATTGAAATCGCGAAATAATAGAAAGCTGTTTAGTTTATTTGCGGAGATTCTGGTAATTGCACTAGAAGTCGTCTGATTCTGCAACAACCATTAAATCATAACTACTTGAAGAGATCAATCATAAAATTGCGATGCCTGAAATTTAAGGGCTTCTGGTGTATAGAAATCGGTCTCAGATGATAGTCCTATGTCTGTTGTATGATTATCTGAGACTGCGTCTCAAAGGTTAATATGGTGAATGAGAAATCTGAGAGACTAGTTGGTAAGAGATTTCTTCTTTACATGGAGAGAACGGTACATATTCTCATAGTAGAAATATGGACTACTAAATGAACCAATTTATTTGATTCATTATGACATGATCTTCAAGATGATGAGTAAACAAATCCATTGAAAAAACAGTTAGGATTCCTGGACACCATAACACAGATTAATATTTATTTGCTGATTACAATTGAAATCCTAATTTTTAATGCTATTTTAGGAATAAAATTGTATATATTCTTTGCTGAAAACAAATATATACTTCTGTTTCGTAGTAATAGATCTAAACAGTATTCAGAACGAAATAAAATGCGTAACGCATCACCTTATGAATCTGTGAAATTAACTAATCATGATTTAAACAGTTCCGATAATTCACCTGATTCCATCGAATCAAGAGTGGAAGCACTTAAACAAGCTAATCATTATTTAAGAATGGAAGTCGAAAATGCATGTAAAATGATAAATTCAAGTGTTTTAAATAAGAATAAAATGGAAGAAGAATTTCTGTCCATGCCAAAAGTAAAGTATCCAAATTTAACTCAGTTTGATCTTGGAAATCATAAACACAAAGTGAGTTATTCATATTTAAACGCATATTAATTTACTTCTAAATTGCCTCTCTTGTAACAATGAAGAAAAGACTGATATAATTAGTACCATTAGGATAAATTCTACTGTACACTGATATATGGCTATTGCATGTGAATAATGGTATCGAAATATCTTAAGAAATCAACCGAACATCTTTCAGAGATGTTCCTTGCCTTTTATAGAGAGAAGATAAATGAGATTAAATGGTCAACTTACACTCTGTGTGGTGCCTGAAAGCAACTTTTGCAACCATCTAGATACAACTCTATCTTGGGTGTTAAACGATCTCTACTAGAATAGAACTTTATCCCAACGGTGTATTATTTCAGCTTTCAAGTTCACTTTAGTTTCAAAAACTGTAAAACATATTTAGGTTCACAACTAGATAAACTACTGTCTAATAATTAATATTATTCCTTACACTAGACAACTGCTTCCATACAGTATAGAACTCCTCGGTAGTTAGTACTCATGACCGTACCCAGGACAGTCAGCTAGCTCTTATCTATCAGACTACTGGGTTATTATCAAAAGGTACACATTCATAACATATCGATTCTCTGTATGGTGCAATGACCATCCAACCTCATTGGCGACAAATGTTTCGATTTCGATACGTTTGAACTCCAAACAGCTGTCCAGTTCTCTGTGGTTTTCATCAGCATCCCAACTGAGATCAGTCAGTCGCAAATATTATCGATAAATTAGCCTAGTATGTACAAGACCTCTACTTGAAAACAATAATAGTTTACATTACGATTTCAGACAACCGCTGAGATCCAGAAAGGACCGTATAGCTATTTCGTTTTAGTATATGAGTTCTCGGCGATGCAGAACCACGACCTTACCAGAGGTTGGATTGATGAGGTCTATATTATGTAAAATCTTCATCATTATAAAATCAACAGATTAACCTCCGACTGTATAGTATAAATATAGTAAATTGGATGGAAATTAATCATCTACTAAGTGCAATAAGATCACCACTAAAAAAATAGTAATTAACAGCAAAAATTACTCACAAATTTAAAATATGTTAATATTCATTTTCCCGTGAAATACATCTATGTGTTATTTTCTATTTTCTCATCTCAAGGTTGGATTTTTCGATGAATCGGATCACTGCATGGAGTATAGAGATGAAAGTTTGGTTGAACAAGAATCGAAAACTGTTTGGCTTGAACGAGATGAATCCGTAAGATTTGAATTAAAAATGGTTGATCTATTATAATAGCATTTATGAACAGGCAACAGCTAATTACTTTCGTTTTAATGATATTAGAGTGAATTTCAATATTAGAACAGGGCATCAAAAAGACATA